TAATACAAAATTATTATAATGTGTAATTAAATTATTTTTTAATAGTGATTGGTTAAATAATCAAAATAAACAAAAATTGTAAAACATTATTTAATAAATTAATTATAGTTCTTATAATTTAAATTTTATTAATTAAGTTCTTAGTAAACAAAAATATATTTAATATTTATAAACTAATTTTAATAATATCAAGAATTTTATATACTATAATAGATGTTAGGAAATTAAAAGATTTAATTAAAACTTTATAAGAAAATATTTTAGTCATTATTATAAATAGATAATATTTTTAAAAATTATTTTAAATAATATTTTAATTAATAAACCTTTATTGTATTTTTGTTGTAAAATGCATTTAATTGTTTGATAATTGATACAGATATAAACAAATGTTTGTTTGTTTGCTTATATTTAAAAAAAACAATAATATGTTATATTGAAGTCTATTATTTTACATAAAATAAAAAGCAATGGTAATGTAAATTATTTAAAACAAAAAACTGAAAAATAAATTGAATTAAATAAAATAAAATATAAAGTACTAATATATTTTATATGCATATATTTTATCAATAAAATCAATGCATTGTTTGAAATATGTTTTTATTAAAAACTATTTTTATAACGTGAATTAAAATTCTGATTTAAGTCATTAAAAATTATATATTTGCCAATGTTTGTGAAAAATTGACTTAAAATATGAGAATATGATTATCAATTAAAACACGCAATATTTTTATTTGAATAATAATTTTAAAAAAAGTGATATTTTAAATTTATTTAATATTATATTTTCATTATACAGTATTATAAAATATTAGAATTTAATTTAAGAATCAATCATAATTAAATATAATACATTGCATTTTAATATCCATAATTGCAATGTCAAAATAGTCATGTAATTTATATCTACAAAATAATTACTATTTGATTAAAAAGTGAAATTAAACAGAAGTGAAAAATTTTAGAATGCATTTGTTTTAAGTATATTTAACTATTTATAAAATGAAATCAATTTCATATGAAAATGTTTAATTTAAAATCTAAAATACATTTCACTCTATTATAATTTTATTCATTCAAAATAGCAGAATATGTAATATAAAGTAACAATATATTGTGAAAAAATAGGTAACAATATAAAAGATGAGAATTTTATTTAGCACTTCAAACATTTTTCTATATTACAATTCAATATAGTTTTACTTCAGTCTAATACAATTTTATACACTTATTGATAAACTGTATAAATATATATTATCTGTGAGATATGGAAAAAACTATATAAAGAAAATTGAAAAGAATTTTTCATTAAATATAATAAATTTTAGGAAAAAGAAAATTTATTGAATATTATTAAGTTATATCATAAGTCAAAACTCAATTACTATTTAGAAAATGATTTCTTTATTTTATTAAATATCTATTATTATACAAAATATGAACTTTTTTCGTAATGAATTATATCTTACTTTTTTTTATCTTTTTTTCTCATCTTAAATGTTAATCACTTTTGCTTTAACTCTCATTTCCTGCTAAATGTATGGTAAAGATTGTTGTTTCTCTTTTAAGAAATCTATTTTTATATTTGTTTTTCCATCAGTGATATTATGAGTATATATAGTATATACAGTGTATTAAGATATGAGTATAGAAAAGACATAACAATTGTCTCGCTTTAATGTCTATTCATTTTAGATAAAATGCTGAGTTTATTATTTAGTGACTTTAATGGTAAGCTCACCAAAAACAGTGTCATTGACTATACAATACATTATGCTTTCAAATTGATTCACACATTCGTAGACTTGAAAAGCCAACATCAGTTCAATATAACAATGATTACTACAGTATATATGAAATACAACACAACAACATATTTGTCTATTGATATTATATTATTAATAGTATTACAGTATTAGTAATATTCTTACATTCCTTTGTTGACTGCATTTTATTAGTTAATAGATATTATATTTTAAATTAAATAAGGGATATATTATAAATTATATTAAGATTATTTATATGACCACATTTTCATTTATTATTGGATATGCTTTTTATGACATCATTATTATTGAGTAAATTTTAGTCAATAAAATGTACAAAACTAGAGTAATTCAGTGAAAAAAGTGAGACAAAATAATATTTTATAAAATTATCGATTTTTTCTCTTTTTCTTTATTATAAGATTTTATTGTCATAATATGGACCGATATTTGACATTCACTTCTTATATAACTGTTATTCTCTGTCGTAAGTTATATATAAAAAAATATTATAAATTCATATCACATCTAAAGTTGAGTTTTGCAACACATTTACGATTTTAAAAGATCTGACTTGAGTTTGCATTTCAGTGTTTTAATGAAATATAGTATTATAGAGTATTATAAAAAATTTTGTTTTAACATTAATTTTATTTATTGCATTAGTTTTAATAAAAATCTTATGTTACTAACCTTTATATTTATTAAAATGACATTTTATTTTATATTTATTAGATTTTGATGTTTATTAATTTATTTATAAAAATATTTTAGGGATGCATAAAAATTTTACGATACATATAAATTAATTATATTAATTATATACTTATATTCTAATTTATTAATTAATTATGGAATAAGAATATTCTAATAAATTATATTATTATTTAAAGTTTTTGTATAAAAAACAATTTCTTTTTGATATTAATTATAATAATGTATTATATTTAGAAAAACTTAGAAAAAAAATCAATTTAGTTTATTTATCATTAAAGTCTGTTATTAAATGAGTACTTTTTTAATACATAGTGACAAACATCTTGATATTTAGAGAAGTCATTGAAGTGTTTTTCACTTGAATGCTAATCATAATTATTGGATATTTTTGTTGTGTTGTGTAAACTAATGTCGAAACTAATCATACAAATTGTATTTGACTTATATTACAGGCAACCATTTAATTAAACAAAAAACTCATAATTTATGGCAAATATTTGAATTATAAATTATTAAATTTAATTTTAGCATWTATAATATGATTGTATGAACATAATTTACTTATGATTAAATTTATAATTATTTTTAGTTATTATAAATTGGATGATACTATTTTTGTGTAATTTCTTATACATATATAATTAATTATATACTAATTCAATATATGATTGTCAATCTATTTGTTAGTTAGATATAGTTATATTTATTAATAATTTTTTTTCATTTGCTAAATGATAGTATTTATTAAGTTTACTTTTCTTATTTTAACACAATTACAACAAATATCTAAAATATATTTTCTGCATATAATCTTTTTATTATAAATAGATTTATGTGAATATAAAGATAGTTATAAATTATATTTTCTATTAACGATATTTGTTAATTAAATATCGTAAAATAACCATTTTATGATTGCACAAATTTTAATAATAATAATTTTATTTAGCATTAAGCAATGTGATTAGTGTTGGTAAAAAAAGAAATTATAAAATGATAGAGAAATTTATAGAAAGTTTCTAAAAGAAATTTCTATTTATGAGATCCCAATGTTAATTTTGTTCTCTCGATATTTGTTATTTTGTAACAATACATTGTTTTTATAGCTAATAATTAAATATTATTATATGTAAAATATTGAATGTATGCAAAAAATCTTTTATTTTATTACAAAATAATTATGATAACATTTATTTAGTAAATTAGACTTAGTATTGATATTATTCTTTAGATTTGTATTGTATTGCTTTGAGGCTTAAAATGGGAAATAATTTTATATTTTTAGTAGTCAAGTATTTCTTTTACAATTATTAATATTTCAACAATTTTATGTATGTGTATGTGTATGTGTATGTGTATGTGTATGTGTATGTGTATGTGTATGTGTATGTGTATGTGTATGTGTATGTGTATGTGTTGTGTATGTGTATGTGTATGTGTATGTGTATGTGTATGTGTATGTGTATGTGTATGTGTATGTGTATGTGTATGTGTATGTGTATGTGTATGTGTATGTGTATGTGTATGTGTTGTCAATACCTGTAATCTATAGTTTATTATATTTTGTGACACATTTCATGAGATCTCAATGAAGATCATTTAAATTAGTTTAATATATAGTTAATAATAGAATATAATATATGTTTCTATAACGACACTAATATCCATACGATTTAGTTAATGTCAATTACTTGTCATAACAGATGCTATTTTATGCTTAACTTATTTAATAAATTAATAAATACTAAATACTGGTAAATATTATTTATATAAATAGTATTCAGAACTTTGATATAACTGTCAAAATCATTTAAATTAATATTAAAATTATTTTGAATTGTATTTGTTATTTGTGTTATTTTTAGAATATTTGCTTTTTAATTTATAATGTAATTAATTTTAAATCTACAAAATATTAAATAAAATATTAGTAAATTACAGTATTTCATAATTTATATTATATATATATAATTAAGTTTAAAACTTTATTGTCTATTAAACATTTTTCAAAGCATCAATATTATTGATTTCTTATTTTGTTATGTAATCAAATAAATTTTGACCAAATTGAATTTATTGAACAAATTTTAAATTATCAACATAATTTACAAAAGTCATATATATTATTATATTTTCGGTTAAAATATAAATTGTATTTTATAGCAAATTTAAAAAAAACTGACAAAAAAGACAATAAAGTAATTTAATTTATAATGCAAGTAAAAAAATTTTGATTTAAAATTTTGACATAAATTTTAGACTTATTTTGTTTAATTTTTATTTTATTTTATATCACTGTAGATAAAAATGTGTTAAACGAAAAGATAATTTATTTTTTTAGATTTTTTAAGTAATGCATGCTTTTATTGATTAGTCATAACTTTAATAACATATTATCAATACTTGAATTTAACTAAAAAAAAGTAGAATAATTAAAACTATAACTTTGATAATAATTATAAAATTATTGTATAAATTAATATTTGATAAAATATTTTGTTTATCTAACAGTAGGAAGAGTTCGTATTGAATCTAATGTCAAAATCGATGAAAATATGTCACAAGTGATTGTTCATAACCCGGATGTAGTCATCGGTGGCTTCTGGGAACCTACCAATTGTTACGCCAGACATCGCGTCGCTATAATTATACCATTTCGTGATCGCAAACATCATCTCTCGATTTTATTATACCATTTGCATCCAATACTTAAGAGACAACTTTTATCCTATAAGATTTATGTGATAGAACAGGTATGTCTTATTTGAATCTAACATTTATTTAAATATTATTAGGTTTATAAAACAAACATATTTATATAACTAACTATAACTACATATTTTGATTAAGTTGTTATAATAAAACTATATTAAGTAAATTAATAATTATTATATAGTATATTATACAGACTGAACATACTGTAGTTAACGATTTAATTATAATAATTATCAAAATTATCAAAATTAATAATTTGATTAATATAAAGTTATAAAAATGTATCAAAAATATAATGCAACATATATTTAATTGTAACTACATAATAAATATATATAAAACATTTACTGTAGATAACATTTAGTGTATTAATAGATGATTATATCAAATTTTATTATTATTATTGATTATCATATAATGTCAATCAATTATATTCACACTCGCAATGCTATTGATCCATATTATTACAATATAAAGTATACAATATATAGTTGTCAATGGAATTGAAATTTTGATGGCTTTTGAAATTTTTAAATAAAGCTTCATTCGTGTGAAAACTGTTTACATAAATGTTTAAATTTAGAGATAGAATATTGAATATTATAATATTATATAAATTTATTGCCAAAATTGTGTTTAATATAGATTTATACATCTATTTTCCCGATGACCTGTAAAATTTTATGTCATATTTTTTATATATTGATATAATTTTATTTTATATTTTCATATTATTGCTGTGATTGCCATTTAAATGCGTTCGTAACATAACTTAATATTAAATTTAATGTATGTTTTAATGAAACTATTTTGTGTCATGATTTATATATTATAATAAAAAAAACTTTGTTTGTTAGCTTACAATGAGATTTATTTGTATTGAACAATTTGTAAATGACCCGTATATTTATATATATATATATATATATATATATAATCTTTATTGCATAGATTATACTAAATATTTTTATAGAGTTTCTATGTTTAATATAGCATAATATTGTATTAAGTAATGGACTTTATATAATATTTTGATTTTATTAATTTAGTTTTTCGACACAAATAATAAATTAAAGTGATATATAAAATGGTCAATTATTTTAAGTGATGGCTTATAAAAAACAATTTATGTATTAATAATAATTGTTTGATGTGTTGACAGTTCGGTAACGACACGTTCAACAAAGGAGTTCTCATGAATGCCGGCGTTAGAGAAGCGCTCAAAGAAAACGACTTTCACTGCTTTGTCTTCCATGACGTCGACCTCATTCCTGAAGGTATGTCCTCATTAGACACTGTTTTCAAATAAATATTAATTAATATGATCTGAATGTCTCCATATAGATGATCGTAATCTGTATTCGTGTCCATTTTATCCGCGACACATGTCTGTAGCCGTCGATAAGTTTAATTACTCGTAAGTATAATACATTACTATGAGATCAGTTGTCACATACAATCATAGATTAATTTACAAAAATAGTTTATATAATTATAATAATATATTTTATGGTACAACTAATTAAACAACGCATGACTATCATGTGTTTGACCCCTAAGCGAGTGTCGGATGTCTTTTTATGTTTTACTTTAGTCGGTCTTAAATTAAACGACATCTTAATCACTGTATTGATCCCAAATCACTGTATCAAACGTGCGTAAGAACTTTATATCTTAGTTTCACTGTTTTCTCCAATGATTTACAAATCCCTGTGATTACAACTTTTTTCTGGTAAATGCAATACAATATTAGATTTATTTTGCATTTTTGTGTCAGAGATTTAATTCTTATTAGTAATAAAATAGCAAAACATTGTATCGCCTGTAAAGTCAATTCTTAATACATATAACATCTAAAGTATAACATATAACATGTTGTATAATATATTAGCATTAGTACAGTATATTTATAATGATTATACTGTTTGTTGTCTCATATTTAGTAATTACTTATTAGGTGTTAGTTAATACTTGTTTTTAGTATTATTTTGATTGATTATATCACACGTCTTATTTGTTTTCAATTATTTTACTTTTTGCAACCAATGCTATAATATTTGATTTATTATTTTGTTGCTCTTATGCCTCTATTTGTTCAAATTATTTTACGTGAGATATGACTTAGTTTATGATTTTCTTGTTATTTTATCAGTTTGTTTTAGCTTTAGTAGATTTATATGGATATACCTGTATATAATAAATAATTATTTTTATATTTACACATTGTATTGATGTACATTTTACAATGATATGATTTTGAAATAGAAATTTTAAGGATTTATGACTAATACCCGAATTTTATATATTAAACTGAAAATTATTTTGTATTAAAAATCTATTTATAAATGTCATAAATAACAGAATTTTATTTTATCCACATATTGAAATTTCACCATTAATTTCAACATTTATTATATTTGTAAAATGATCAATAAAAATATTGATAATTGTGTTTATTTTGTAACATTACATTACACCTATAATGACTCTTTACTGCAATACTATTAAATATAAATTAATACGAATAAAGTATACAATAATTATTTATTAATTAATCAATGATTTTAGTATTAAATGAATATATATTTAATAAAAATACTTTATTATATAACAATAGACAGATAATAACAGTCTGTTTTTGAGTGACATAAGTCATATATTTATTATCAACAAAAAATAAATAAATAAAACAACAAATAGCTTTTTTAATTAAATTTTATTTTTCTGATAGCCATACGTATGGTATTATTATTATTATTATTAAGTGAAGCAATTTTTTATTTAACTTCACAGTTGTATTGTATTACATAAGACTTGCAATCAATGTTGACTTATTTGTGAAGCTATTTATTATTATATGAATTGAGTAGAAAATTACAAAACACTCGATATATTGTTTGAAACAACAAATGATCTGAAAAATAGTGTTTGGAGTTTGACTTTAATTGCAAACACGTATCACTTTTTTGTGCTAAATTTCACTCAAAATAAGTCATGTTTTTAGTGTTATATTTAAAATATTATTGATTTTTTCTTAATTTGATGGTTAAAAAGTTGGCTTAAAACAGCATTTTAAGTATTAATTTCAATGATAATACCATATAATATATGATTTAATAATATAAAACTAATTATATTATTATTTTTAATTTTCTTTTAATTATATTGTTTTTATATTTGCATTTATAGGCTTCCATATCCAGGTATGTTTTTAAAATATTTTTTAATTATAAATGTTTATAAAAAATATAGATATATTTTGTATTTATAATAGATTGAAAACAATTAAATAAAATATTCATTTATTAATTATTTATATTTTTACATAATTATAATATATTATTTTTAAAGATAGTCTTATTAATGTTAGGATTTATAGATATTTTTAATGATATTTTTAAATATTAAATGTTTATTTTGCTTTATTTGCAAACTTAGATAAAAGTTATGTAAAGTAAAATGAAAAGTACTTAGGAATCAGTGATGAATATAAAATAAATGATAATCTATGTAATAATAAATGACTTTCTCTGTAATTTTGTTTTTTTATTTAACTGAAAGTATAGAAAGTTAGGAAAAAACTATCACAACATAACTAATACCGAATTCCCGAAACGTTACAAATAAAATGTATTTATATTATAGTTAACTTTGTTTGTTATATAAGTTATATACATATTGTAAATGAGTTATCAGGCCTTGAGTTAAAAGATATATACAGTATATGAAAACTATTACTGTTAGGATTAAGTTTCGAGACAGACAACTAAACCTAAGTTTACGTCATTACTGTATGATCTCTATTATTGTTTTCAAATTTTTTTTTAATCACATCAGTAGTGAATACATTTGTTTTCATTTGTGATCAGTTGTTTTAGTGATGTCTTCAATAGTGAAAGTGGTAGATATCAAGAGATCCACATATCCGTAATGTCATGCTTTATGAATATCGTCGTGGATCAAGTGCCTCAGAAACATTGAAGAAGATCAATGAAGTGTATCCAAATGCTGTCTCAAGAAGCAGAGTATACGAGTGGTTTCAGCGATTTGACAATAAAGACTATTGTCTGGAAGACAAAGAAAGATCGGGTGCCATCAAAGGTTGATGACGATGATATCAGATCCCTGATAGATGAAGACCCCAGATTAAGTACCACGGAGATTGGTATGATACTAGAGGTGGATCAGAAGACTGTTTGGAATCATTTGGTAAAGATTGGAAAGAGATATTTGGCGGGAGTTTGGGTGCCTCATGAGTTGACACCGGCACAAAAAGCCCAACGGGTAGTCATCTGCGAATCATTGCTTTCTCGTAACCGTAAAGACCCGTTTCTACACCGAATTGTTACTGGCGATGAAAAGTGGGTGTTATATGTTAATGTGACAAAGAAAGGCCAATGGCGAGATATAGGACAGGCGCCCATTCCGACTGCAAGACCTGATATTCATCAGCGTAAAGTAATGCTTTGTATTTGGTGGTGTATGAAAGGTGTCGTCCATTGGGAACTGTTAGATATTGGCCAAACATTAGATAGTGTTGTATATTGTCGACAACTCGAAGATTTACAGACATCATTATTGCGCAATCACAGAAATTTGGTCAAAAGAAGTGGTGTCATGTTTCATCAAGATAATGCCAGACCACATGTTTCAAAAATGACCCGCCAAAAGTTGGAAACCCTAGATTATGAAGTCATGGCACACCCACCGTATAGCCCAGATATCGCACCGTCCGATTACTATTTGTTCCGATCTTTACAGCATTTCTTAGATGGTAAACGTTTCAATAACAAAGAGGGGGTCAAAACTGCCATCAATGATTATTTGGCTCTTAAAGACGAAGCCTTCTTCATCAAAGGGATTAATGAGTTACCGATGAGATGGCAGAAGATCGTAGATAAAGATGGCGAATATTTGATTAATCAAGACATTGATATTAATTAAATAAATTAGTTTTAATTTTTATGCAATTTTGTCTCGAAAATTATTCCTAACAGTAATAATAGATAGTATATAATATATAGTATATAATACAGTATTATTTATGCGGAGAATATTGATTTTAGCAGAAAACTTGATGTACAGTATAACTATATAAAGTGATATATTGTTTAATATATTATATGCAATCATATCATGAAAATTCATTAAATAGTTATTATTTTAGAATTTTATGTTTTTCTGTGAAATTTAATACAAAATATATTTGTAATCAATTTATTTATCATTTTATGTGTTATATGAAGACCTGGTTGGAGGTGTACTCAGTATATCCAAAAGGAATTTCATTTTAGTTAACGGATACTCCAATCTCTATTGGGGGTGGGGAGGTAGGTGTTATTATTATTATTATTATTATTATTATTATTATTATTATTATTATTATTATTATTATTATTATTATTATTATTATTATTATTATTATTATTATTATTATTATTATTATTATTATTATTATTATTATTATTATTATTAGTAGTAGTAGTAGTAGTAGTAGTAGTAGTAGTAGTAGTAGTAAAAATATTATAGTTAAGCTCTTAATCTATTCGTTATCTGTTAAATCACTATAATGTAAACAATTTTGCATTATATTTATTTATAATACTATATATAGTATTTATTTTATAATTTGATGAATATATTAAATAATATATAATAATGATAATGATAATAATATTGTAGATTCTATATTATTTAATAACATTTTTATATTTGCTTAATAATTATTACTTAACATTTAATTTATATCTATTTTGTTGTTAATTCCACTTAATGTCATATAAAATATACGGTTTTAGTTTGTTATTTACTATGTTTTATTTAAGCATAAAATACATTTTAATTTATGGTTATATTTATTAATGTCAAACATGTATTTAAATTGTAAATGGGTTTTTAAAATATATTATTAAAATTTTGTTCATAAATAAGGCGGACATTAGTTTATATGTAAAGCAATATGAAGTTAATATGTAATATAAAACTAATGTGTATTCATCTGTAGAAAGTATATAATTTTACTAAAAATTTTTATAATATTTTATTATTATTAGTAGTAAATAGAAACAGATTAGTATTGTTAGGATTGACATTAAATTCCGTTTTCTTTTGGATTATTTTACTGTTTTTAGCGAAAAAGATATATTTTATGTCAAAAGAGAAATTTGTTTTTTCAAAGTCATTAATATCTTAAGCTTAGTCTCTGCCAGTGATTCAGTCTTTTACTTAAAAACTTATGGCTTTAAAAATGTTTATCTTTAAAAATTAATTAAAATTTTAGTTATTATATAAGTCAACTGTTTTAAGCAAATATTATAACGCTATTCAAAGCATTTTAAACAAAAATGTTTTTAATTTATAAAACTAATGCTTTTAGACTGGAAATGACAACATTAAAGACAATTAATTTATAACGATTTTTTGTTAATATTATTATTATAATTATCAAAAATTTTAACATTTTTTTGTAATTTACATTGAATTTATAGGAGAAGACGACGATATGGCTCACAGGTATGTCTTTATTATATTTTAAATGATTTAGTATTCAGTAATATATTACTATTTAATTTGACATACAGTGACTGTATAATCAAATATTAAAAGCATTATTAAAATAATATATATATATATATAGTAAAATATAATGATAAACTATCTTAATAAATGGCACCTTTATGAAATACTTTCCCGATTTATCATAAAAATGTAAAGTTATACACCCATCCATTTAAATCTAAAGCGGTAAATAAAAGTGCCATTAAATTGTAGACAAAATTGTTATAATTATGAATAGTATATAATTTTAACTAAATATGTTTATATATTATATATATAGTATATATATATATATATTATTTAATTTGTAGACTAAAGTACCACAATCTTCACATTATAAGACCGCCCGAATCGATAGGAAGGTATACAATGATTAAACATAATCACAGACCGGAGTCACCCAACAATGTTAGGTAAGTGACAATTCATTTATCAAATAACACATTATTTAATTGCTTTTATTTTAATACTATTATAGTAAATATGTATTATAGTTATTGATTTTATTTTGATATATCGAATAAAATTTATTTTTTTTTTAAAAATATATTATTTTGATACTTTAATTTTTTTATAAAAGTTATATATATTTGTATTGTTTTTGAAACATTAGTGATATTTTATAGCTTTTCATGTTTTGCATTACAATTGACAACATATACTGTACATACAATATATATATGTTCACAATTGCTAATATTTGTAATGTTTTGCTACTTAATACCATATATAAATTATATATATATATATATATATATATATATATATCCACTCTTTTAGTATAATATTTGTATCATTTACTCCCAATTGTATTGAAAAGAGAGGGTTTTTTCGGTTTGTTCTCAAATGTCTTTCCGCATCAATAGATCTGCATTACTACGAATGGCTAAGAGACGGGCATTTCGTGATGGACTCGGATCTGTCAGGTATGACATTGTATGCAATATATATATATATATATATATATATATATATATATATATATATATATTTATATACCCTATTGAATACAAACCAATGCATTAAATACTGTTTATTTATGTCGTGTATTACTTGCACACAACTATCAGCTCAAAGAGACTTTCTATTTGTTATAAGACTATAACATATATTAATAGATGTTTTATATAACTGTCTGTTTCTTAATTTATATTATGAGCTGAATTAAGGCTCGTCTTAACAAATATATATTGAAAGGCATATTAAAGACATAAATACTTTGGAAACAGAAATTTTTTGACATAAGTCTTCATAAATGAGAAATTTTTTATACAAAATACTTATTTGTTTATTTGACTTCTTTTATATCAATTTTAATGTTATCTGTAAAGTGTCTATTCATACAAAAGTACAGTAAGTACTACACAGTAGTCTATAGAAACATGTGATATAAATATTGTATTTGTTTATTAGATAAACTATTGAAACGCCAAATAAATATATTTTTAACGTAGGTTTTAGTTTTATTTATTTATTTATTCACATCATATTTAGATTATATTAAGCAATCATATCTATGATAAATATATGCCAATTATATGATTTTTATATCGATTTTTATGTTATTACTATAACTTGTCATACATTAGTTGTTTTTAAGATAAATTACACATTTTATGAAATTCAAATTTAATGTTAATATCAATAAGTTATAAATATATTAAAATTCTACAATATTTTTATATTGAATAATAATCTGAACAAAAACTACGAATAACTTATTTGTTGTCGCATATCAACAATTGTTTAAATATTTTTATCTTTTATTATATTAAATATTATTCTAGAAAAATAATTTAAATTATGAATAAATAATTATCATTTGTTAATATAAGCTTATTTATCCTCTATTATGCAAATTAATATAAAATAATAAAAGTTCATAATTTAATAAGATTATTATGATAATATTATATTGTTTATGTAAATAATAATAAATTATTTTAAATAGAAAAATATTAAAAATGTTTCTCAATGAGCAAAAAAATACATGAATTGATAATTGACATACAATTTGCTTGTTGTGTGAATCTTATAGTTATATTATACTTATCATTACTAATGCCAACCCATAGGCAACTAAAACGACTCGTCATTACTGTTATCATCTAATATATCATAAGTTTCTGGTTTTTACTAACATTAATGCAATTTCTTTAACAGATATCGAGTGATATTCAAGCGCTACGAAAGATGTTATACACATATAATGGTAGAGATCGGATACATTCATAAATGGCATTTCCCATCGCCTAACAAATTGGTCCTTCATTTTAAATGATACCACTTTTTACTACATAATTGTCTAATTATAACATATTTTTTAAACTTATAAACATTATAATTATATGAACAACTAATTCAAACATCTCAGTAAAGCCATTATAAATAAAAGGAATTTTTGATAACAAAAAATAGATTACAAAACTTACATAAAATCTCTTATTTTAACATTTAATTTCACTTAATTCTAGATATTTATTGTTATATTTACTTGAATTATAGATATGTTTATTTGTGTTATTACTGTTTTATTATCGTATAAAGAACATATATAATAATAATATATAAGCAAACAGTTAAGTGGTTTTAAATACTAAATTTAGGAAAATATTATAATTGGAAAAATATTTTTTAAAAAAGGACTATTAAAGTTGGTTTATATTTAATCTGTTAAAATAAGTTGTATATAAATATAAATTTTACATTTTATAAGTTTAATATTTTATAATATATTTGTTTTTAAAAGACATGTTTATTTAACTGACTTTGTATAGGCATTGCCTTATTTTTAAAAGAGAATGTGATTATAAAAACTAAAAAATACGTGTAATATATTATTTTGATTGATTGATAAGTTTATTAAATGTGCTAAATATTTAAATATGTAAAAATTAAAAATAATAAAAACTGATAATTAATAAATTTTGAAATAAATTTTACTTTATTATATGATATTAACAATTTCTCTACAATTGTTTTTTTAAACATTTATTACTGTATTTATAAATTATGTTCAATATAACTTTAATTAAATATTTTACTTGTAATAAAAATGCAAAGTTATAGCATAAAATCATTTAAAATATCAATATCGGTTAAGCAAATTTGGTAAATTAAAATTTTAATTGTAATATTTTCATATATTATATAATTTTAAATAAATATATCAAATTTTAAGATCATTTAAGACATTATAATTATCAATACATGCTTTTAGTAAAGTGTGGATATACTCCTCAAACATGATCTTAAAATTATCAATAATTAAATTATATATATATTTATATTGTGAGGGTCGGGGAGTTTAAAATTTATAAAAATATATAACATCACATTAAAATCATCATAATTTTGATGATTTATTTATTATTTAATTACATAAAATATAGTAAATTATATTTTTTTGTAATGAAATCAATCAAAACTTATGACTGAATGCAATGAATTTAATTGAAAGCATTGCTGCCATCTATTTGTTGAACGTATCGATAGTAATGATTGCAATGTTTTGGTAAATGTGTGACACATTTGGCGCACAACTCATAAGTCATAACTGTTTTGATATTTGTTTACATTTGGATTGCATTTAAATTATCACTTGATTTAAATGTCGACCAATTATATGGTGACCACTGATGGACACCAATTGACGGACACTACAAGACATGCAAAGTGTGTCAGATATCGGCGAAAAAGCATATTTGAGGCAAAACAGTGGTCTTTCGAGGAAATGTCGACTTTGATGAACATCTGGTCACGTCTTGAAATGAACTCATATGAGACCAAACAAATGATGTATAAATATATTCAAACAAAACTCAAGAGATTTGGTTACAACAGAAGTACGGATCAGATTCGGTGTAAACTAAGACGAGTCAACCCTACGACCGATACTGTCGTCGATGAAAGTGAAGACAATAATGACTTAATTTTCAATCATATCTTATCTCAAAACATATTAATTTTAATCAACAGGTCTTAAACCATCTGAACGATCACGAAGTGTGTCCACAAATTATCAACAGTTTGATGACAAAACTGAAAGCGAAACTCTTTCAGACACTAACAGTACATCTGATGACGAGTCAAGTCTTGTAACTGTTTTTTTAGTTAACAATTAGGTTTGGATTTAATTAGTTATTACATTGTCTTTACATTTAGACCTCATTTTCTGAAGAAGAAATCGATTACGACATTAAACTTACCGAAAGTGAAGACTCAAATGACTCACAATTTATGTTATTTAACCCATCGTTTGGCTCTGAGATTGATTTTAAAAGTGGTCTGTTTTTTACTAATTTTAAAATTTTAATCATTAATTTCAATAAATCAATTCATTATTAGATAAACCAAAATCTCTTGTTTGTGAAAACTCACAATTTTTAAGACAACAATTAGTTATTAATAACATCGAAGAACTTAAATCCAATACTCAACAAACTTTTCATCAAATAATTTCGGCTCAAAAACAGCTCAAAGAGTCGATCACAAAGTTTAACTCAGAATTGTCGAGAATGACGGACCAAATACTTAATAGCAATGATAATCACAGTCTAAACACTTCTAGTCCTAAATCATTACTAAAGGACAAGTCTATAGATGAAGTACAACGAAAACCAATTAAACTATTGATACCTAATATTAATAAAAATTATTGTATTTATATGAATGATAATTAAATAAAGAATATATTAATAAAATAATAAAAAATGTAAGAAATGACCAAATATTTCACGTTTTTATTGTAACAAACATATTATCTTATTTGATAGAAAATGTTTTGTTATATACTGTAGTTCAGTAAAATATATGCTACGGTAAGTCAAAAAAAAATTAAAATCATAATTTTGAAAGTTTAGTGTAACGGTAATGTGAAATTGTAGTTAACGGTAAACTTTGTACATCTCGTAATAAGTTAATAATAGCATATATTAATAAAACTACTGTATAATCATAAATACAGAGATTTTAAAAATTATAAATTTTTATTGCAATCTAAAATTTATATAAATATTTAAAATTAAAACTTAAAGTATATTACTATTACTAATAATAATTAACAAGTATTAGTTAATTTATTAATTAATTATTTGTTAACTCTTTTCAACACTTAATAATATATTTATCAGAGCATCTGATGCATCACTTTTGTCTAAATTATTGATTAGATTAATAGCTTTATTAACATTTGATTTAAGTAATGTCTTCATTAAAGTTAAATCAAATATAGAAATATTATCGTTATTATTAATATTAGTTGAGTTATCTTCGCCTATATTTGTATAAATGTATAATAGGTCTGAAAGCTATGCAAAATAAAAAAAATATTAAAATAATAAATTTATGTCACAATTATGGGTATAACAAACTTGTAAAGCAATGCCGATATGTTTTCCTAACTCATAGGCATTGTTTTGTATTTGTTGATCAAATTGTGCCAAAAGTATAACCGATTGACAACTGTGTCCTAATAGTGATCCTCCATATAATGAACAATACGTTTCCAATGTCTCTAAAGTTATGTCAGATTTGTGTTTTAGCTCTAATCTTAAGAATTCCGCTTCAGTGAAATTTTGCAATGATTTGGCGGTTAAACCGGTTATCTGTAATCATAATTATTGCTTAAAAATTAAAATTAATATGTTTTGTATGAAACTTACAGTCGGATTACGGATAAGTGTTACATCTTTGTTGGCCTGAGTTAAGAGTAAATCTCCAAATAATAACATATATCTGACTAATTGAATCTCTTTTGTATGATCACCGGTTGTAATGGTCGATGGTTTTCTGGCACTGGCGTGTAGTATCTGAGCCACATGTGTCATATCAGTACTTTGTGCCACTATTTGTTGCCATTTGTCAATCAATTGTAACTCATTTGATAGTAATTCAAGTTTGTCTATAATATGTTTAGGGTATGAATAGGCTTTAGCTAAAAGTGATATTATTAAACCACGGATCAGATAACTTGTGTTTGATATATGAATCCATCTCTTTTCACAATTCAGATAATGATTGCATTTTCCCATTAATGGCAAATACAATAAATTTGTTAATCTCTTATCTTCAGTCCATTTGTTACTTTTAATAAAACCGATAAGATTTGGCCAAATATTATCAAAATTGTGTGAATAGTCGTCTTCCGGGTTTCGGGACTCATATGTATCGGCAATGACTCTGTCCGTCAATGACACCAATGAAGTGGTCGACCGTTTGGTTACCATTTCAACAGTTTTCTTCAAATGTCGAGAAGTTATGGCCTTTAAAAACAAAATATTTAAATAAAGTAATCAAATGATCAAAATTAGATGATATCTAATTAAGTCACCAATTAGTTCCCATAACTCACTGAAAATATCATTTTATTTTTGTTGGCTTTTAGTAAAACATTTCTCAAAATTATAAACATTTCAATACACGAGTCGATTGTCAATCACTTTATAATTCAAACCAAATATTATTAACTAATATCACAAACACTTTATAGTCGTATAAATCATTGCAAACTTACATCTCATTTAAAAAGCAATGTTTTATAAAAATAATATAAATATCAACACAAGTCGTGTCAATAAAAGGTTCCAAAATATAAGCTTTATTTACAAAAATATTTAGGTCTATATAACACTGTATATAATGTACTGTATTGTGAATTATTACTCTAATTTAATAAACATTAAGCTATTACACAATACTCTGTATTAGTCAATGATTTGTTATGTATGGACTGCAGTCCTGTCCCGTCCCGTTCCGTCCCGTATATCATAATTTGCGGACAATTTCTAACTTGAATTAACTCTTAAAGTAATGTTTAGTCAATGAATGCATACATTAGTGATAATAACAAACATAGTGTTGACTGACGTATCACTTGATATCATGTGTTATATTATGTATTGTTTTCATATCGAAAGTCACATAACATTGAAATTCCATTGAATTTTCAAAACAAGTGTAAAGTTTTGCAATCATTTAAATGATTAATAAAGTGATAAACAATTAATTTAACGATTGATTTGATCGACAATTGAATTGTATTCAAAAAATGCATTCAATTTTGAGAAATGTTTTGCCGAAAGTCAACAAAAATAAAATGTTTTTTCCCGTGAGTTTCGGTAGTGACCACAAAGTATCACCAATTTTAATGATTTATCACTTAATTGTCTTAATTTGTTTGTCAATGAAAGGCAATAACTTTGCGATATATGGAGACATCCGTCCAAACGGTAATCAAACGGTCGACCACTTCATTGGTTTCATTGACGGAGACAGTAATGGCCAAAGCATATGAGTCCCGAAATCCCGATGTATGGCATACAAGACATTATTGTTTTATACCATTAATAATATTTTAATATCAAATCATATAATGATATCTTTAAGTCTGAACTTCAAAGACTGTGTGATTCGTATTACACATCAAATCATGAAACGAAAGACCGGTTTCTGTGTTTTATTGCCGACGAGTTGGCCGTAAACTCTACTCAGGCTTCGGGAGTTATGAATAACTTTCTATCAAATAAAGTATTTACCATAAAGTTTCCCATAAAGTATTAACATTTAACTAATAATTAATTTATTATATTTTGATTATTAAGACAAATGTCGACTCAGAAGACTATGTGATGGCTGTCGACAAACTTCGGCAACAATTGCGACCAAAGTATTACGTGTTATTTAGTCAGATATCGCGTCTGGAAAATGGCGTTAAATTTATAACTGATATGCGATCAGATCTTAGGGTTTGTCACTTATTTATCGTACCGTAAATCTATTGTTTTAAATAATCAGATTATCAGTTAATGACCAATAATTAACAATTGATATGACTCTCAATCCATACGGTATTAGTAACCCCTGTCGACACTTTACCCTTTAAAATAAATGATAGCATATAATGAACAAACTAATGTCTAAAGTTATAAATACAAAGTCTAGTGATAATTGATTTTTATGTCAACTTATTATTATTTTTAATAACTGATAATAATTATTGCATTTAATAGTCAACAATGAACGGCAATTTTGACAGATTAACTAAAGTTAAGTTACGGTCATTAAGTAATCACATGAAAGATCTGTTGTCCCTTTGGTTTTCAGTTGGTTTTCTTAATTTAGAGAGAATTACGTGGAATTCTCCGACTTCTATGTTGCAAAAAGTACTGTAGTTCTCGTCATTTGTTTATTTGTTATCATTTTTTTTGTTTTTATAAAATATTTATGAATTACGGTAAATATCATTACAGATCTCAGAGTATGAAGCGGTTCATCCTATGAGAAGCTGGGCTGACCTAAAGCGTCGACTCGGTCTCTATCGGCGATGTTATGTATTTAGTCACAGTTGCCTTCCCTGTGAACCACTTGTCATACTTCACGTGGCTTTAATGCCTAACATATCGAGCTCTATACGTGTTTGTCATCTATTATTTGAATACTTATTGATTTATAACTACCGTATAGACCCGCATATAGCCCCCTGGCCATCATGTGAAAATGTAGAGCAATAAGTGAGATATAGCCCCCTACCAAAAGTTGATTTTAATGAATTATCAAATACCCCCACTATTATGATAATTGAAGTTTTTTTTGAATGTCTGTAATTACCCATCCCTTAAAAAATGTAATCTATTAACCGGTCTATTGATTGTCAAATAATAGTCAACAAATGGGTAATTTTCAATTTAATGACCGATCGTAAGCTGATTATTGTGTTAATTATTATTTCTATTATTACTGTATTATCATATATTTAGTTTTAACTAATTGCAATTAACTGGCCTTTAATGGTTTCTGATTGCAATAGACCAATCTTACATATAACCCTATCCCCCAATCGTTCTTACCCCCATACTTCACATATAGTCCCAGTTGGGGGTATTTTGTGAGATACAGCCCCATACAAAATGTTGATTTTTAAATTTAAAAAATTTGTCAGGGGGCTATATGCGGCTCTATACAGTAATTAGTATAAATATTATTAAAATTTCATTCAAATTAAATTGCATTTATAAACACAAACAGGAAATCATTCAAAAGACTAATCCTTCAACTAATCTGATGAATGAAAGCTTTACATCTCTACCTAAAGACACATTTGCTGCCAAAGAGGACTCGGATGGCATCGACGCCGCAATATTTTACTCAATTACTTCCAGTCAAAGAGGTAGTGTTTTTTAAACATTTTTATATTCATGTATGTCGTCAATCCAGTTATGAATGTCATATTTAGCACTACTTGTAATTACATTTGTATGTCTTTCCTTATCACATCACTACTGTATTTATAATATAATAATAATAAATATCATTATATTTTAATTGAGATTATTATTAAATTAATGATAATCTTTAGTTCATTTTCTGTCGTTTCCTTAATATATTTGTATTGTTTATAATATTCAGTCATACAATTTAATTATAATAATTATAATGAGCCATTTTATTATTATCGTATATATTAAATTAAAATACAATTAATTTAATTAATTATTAAAGATAAAACATAACTTATAGTATATTAATTAATGAAGTGCAAAATATGTGGGATATTTGAATAAGATTTTAGTTAAACATATTACCGTAATATAGCTTTTTTAAAAAAATAAATGTATATTACAAATACATCCAATTATGATACTACTATATAATTTATGATGCTTATGTGCTAGGTATTTTGTAATTTATGTGAAAATTTAGTAAATATTAGTAATAAATTAAATCAATATTCATTTATTATTTTTGAAGTTAAAAATTTTATTTAAAAATTATTTATAATAATTGAAACAAACACTGTTTTTCATAAATAATTTAACAGTAATTTATTTCACAATAGGATTACATGGTATTGAATTAGGCAATCAACTGATCAAACGTGTTGTAAAAGAGTTGCGATCAGAGTTTCCGCTAATATCCCAGTTCTCGACACTATCACCGGTGCCTAACTTTACTGAATATCTTCTATCGGAGATGCAGTCCATACAAAATGGAGATTTAATTAAACAACGAAACTTTGTAACCGATGAAGAACTGGATCGACTGAAACAACACTTTTTTGGTGATTACTCGACTCATTCAGACATTTGGCCAAATCTAATGAAAGTCATTAAAAATAACGAATGGATTGATAACGAAAAACTTTCGGATCTATTATATGAACCATTGATGAAGAAATGCGCCCATTATTTAGTAAATGAAAAAAGAAGAGGTTATGCATTGAATTCAGTCGGTTTGTGACAACTTTTTTGTTATATTTAATTATTTTTTAATATTGTATTTGTCATATGATTTTTTCTTTTGTTTTATTAGTTATAGTCAAACATAACATTTATTTTGAAATATATCTTGAATTTCTTGTTTACACATGAATTCAATCATATGTTATATATATTTTAATAATAATAATAATATGATTTATTACATTTATTTTTAGCACATTTTCATTTACGAAACGGTGCAGTCATGTGGCGATTGAATTGGTTGGCAGACCTGAGTCCCAAAGGTTTGTCTAATTCGTGTGGAATTATGGTTAACTACAGGTATTTTCTTGAAAGTGTTGACAACAATAGCTATTTATATACTGAGAACCGACAGATCAATGCCGACCAACAGGTACTCAAATGGTTGTCAAAATCAAATACCAATTCAAAACTTTGAATTATTTTAGCAATTTATTGTTATTTATATTATTTTGAGTGATATTTATATTGTTATTAATATATATATATATTTGTTAACTATTTGCCGGCAGATATTTTTAGATTTCAAATCATAATTATTTGCATTTTTATTGAAAAAAGCCGTACAAATATTTAGTGAAATTATTACATTTATATACAAATATAGACATAAATAGAATTGATGTAATTTACTGTTTGATTTTAAATAGCATTTATTAAGACCCATAAACCCAAAAAATAGTAGTTTTACATAATTTTATAAAAATGTTATTATGTTATAAAATAATCTATTATTCTATACATTAATTTGTATATACTGTATATTTTTATATGTTTTTACTTGTTTTATCATTTGTTATAATAATAACGAAGTTTATTAAGTCATATATTTGTTAAAAAATCAAAACGACAAATAACTTACCGTAAAATCGTATTTTTTCTCCATATGGAATTTAAAAAATGAAAAATAACATTTTCATGCGGTAAAAACCCGCATTTTTAACCCCTGGTAAATTAAACGAGTCTGTGGGGAAAATCAAAATTGGGGGAATAGGCAACTCTAATGACCTATAATTAACAGTAATCTATTAAAATCTGTATATTTAGATATTACCGGTAATTAATTAATTAGTTATTACAGTGTTTAACAATAAATGACATTTGTATACATTTACAGTATTTTTACATATTATAAATCGGTAAATACATAGCATATTCAAAGGGTTTAGAACAACTAGAGACGTCCAAATACAAGGGGTAGAAAATGTTGAACATATATAAAAACAGGCAAATTATTATTTAAAGTAAAATACTATATTTTTCATATTATGGTACAAAACTCGCATTATTTCCCATCACTTAGACATTTCCATATGGGAGAAAAAACATTATTTTACGGTATATATAACATATTCAAAGTTTTAAGTTTCTTTTAATTTTTTTTATTAAATTTAGTTTATTATATTGTTTTTATTGTATTACTATAGAATTAAATTGTATAACAAGGAAACGAGAAAATGTGAATTATATTTATATATATGATATTAATATGTAGTAAATAATTATTTTTATAATTAAAATTATAATAATAATAAAATAAAATTTATGTTTTACATTATTCTTCAAATATTTATATTTTATCTTATATTTATAGTTTATATTATAGCATCTCATCAAAAAATTGTGCTAATAATTATTTAATAAATATAATCATATAATAGTAATGATATTTAATGTATAATAATAACTAATTTTTAAAAATTAGTTTGTTTTTTATAGTTTTATTTCAAAAACTATAAATTTTGTTTTCAAATTATTTTTTATATTTAATACTATTTTTTTGTTTGTTTGTAGAAATAAAGATTATTTTTTGCGTATATAAACATAAAAATTATGAGAAAATAAGTTGAAATTTTGTTCACAATTTTTGCTTTTATGACTTTGCCGTTGAAGTGAAAGCATTTATTTTCTCTTCTTTTGATATTAAATTTTTTAAAAATATATTTTTTAAAAATAATCATTTGAAGGGAATATTTTTATTTTGTATATTATTTAAATAAATAATTTATATCTTTTTAATATATTTTTACACTAAATATTAACTATGCATGAAATATAATATAAAATTTTTGATGATTATAATTATTAATTAAATTACTATATATATATCAGGGTTAAGTAAGGGGGGGGTAAGGCCAAAATACCCCCCCTAAGATCGAGAAATTGGGATTTTACCCCCCAGACTTTTTGACCAAATTGAAAAAATTGTCGCTTAAAAACGAGGAGAAATGACCCCCTCCCCTAAAATTTCGGCGCCGAAGTCGCCGAAAATTCTTTTGAAATTTATAAAAATTTTAATTTTAGTTGATACTATTTTAATAAGTGTTTTTATGTTTTTAATATTTATAAAAATCTAATTATTGATTAAAAATAGTTAAAATAACGTTAAAAGTCATCAAAAAATAACATTATTTTAATTAAAATAAACTAAAAAATTAAAAATTACCTATTTGTTGAAAAGAGTAATCATATTACAATTTAAATATAAGTTTAAGAAGTTAATAAAACAATAAATACTTGTTTTTATTAATAATTTTTAAATTTTAAATAAAAAATTTAAAAATATTTTCAATTTTGTACTTAATATAATTAAACTTTAACGAAATTTGAGTTAAATAAGTAGTATTCAGTCAGTATTTGTATAAAAATAAAAATATATAACAAACTATAAACATTAAGTAGTGTTTAAAAAATTAATTATGTTAAAAGTTAAAAATTATTAAAATACTAAAAATAACTCATAGTGTATCATTAATCCTTTTATCAACTATTTTAAAAATCTTAAATACATTATTTTTTTTTGTTAAAATTTGTTTTTATTAATTTTTAAAAATTTTTTTTAAAAATATTTATTTTTTGTTAAAATTTAAGTTTTTGTTAATTTTTAAGTTTTTTTATATTTTTGGAAATTTTACCTATTTTCCCGGGAATTTATACGGGAACTTGTGGGAATTTTATTGAATTTACATGGGAATATTCGGGAACTTAAGGAATTTTTAGGGAATTTTCTCTAGACCCCCCCCCTTGATTTTGGATTTTTGAAAAAATTGCCGTTTAAAAATGCAATAAAAATCTTACCCCACCCAATACCCCCCCAAGATTTTTTGAGAATTTTGTAAATTTTACCCCGGTCTACACCCCCCCCTAAAATCCAAAACCTTGCTTAACCCTGATATATATATATATATATTATTAAATATTATATTGTTTTTAATTAAAAAGTTGTGGGTTAAGCAAATAATACCGTATTTACAATATTTGTAACGATTTTAAAAGTGTTTTACAGTATATTAAATATTTTGAAGAATCTAAAAATTATTTTTAATCTATGGTTTGGTTCATTAAAATTCAAAGCATAATTGTTTCTTATATATCTTAATTTTAAGGCATTTTTATGGATTAAAATAACAATAACTATTTGAGTTAAAACATTGTTTGAAATATTTTTGGTGAAAACCATTAGAGTTAATACAATATAAAATAATATGAATGTATATTAAGGTTCAAAACAATTATATTATAATTCAAAAGTCTCAATCCCTTACCTATAATACTAGTGCTCTCACTAAATAAATCATCAAAATATACCCATAAGTCCTAACATTTTTCATATGTACTTTGTGTGCTCAATGAAGTTATTTTTGGGCCATTACTGTATTATCAAATATTTAACAATTCAATATATTAAACCATTTTAATAGTTTGTAACTTTTGTTTTGTATATATTTTTTTTACTTTCGTTTATATACAATGTTATGACCCAAAAAATGTAACAATTTGAATATTAAAATAATATATTTTTAAATTTATTTAGTTTTATAGTTAAATTTATTTTAAGAAAATATAATTTTTGTAAAATAACTCACTTTTTATTTTTTAGTGTGTTTTATAAATTTATATGAAATCAACAAAAATAAATATAATATTATAATATATTCATTGTTTTAATAGTTAATTCTAAGATACTTTTTGTTATTATATATTTCATGTTTTTATTATAATTATAAAATTAAAATAAACTTTAAAACTGATTTAAATAATCCAATATTATTTTTAATACATACAGTATATTATTATATATTGTTTAAACAACAATCTGTCTATACATTTACATTTATTTTAGTATTATTGTATTAGTGATGACTTGTATTAACTTAAGGTATACATTGAAGTTGTGTGAGAGAGTCGGCAGATTGTATTTGGCATCTCATGTGTGACCACTCTATCGACTTGGAGAGAGAGATCACTCTCAATCTCTATCCTCTGTTTTTATGTGGTTTGTTGTCTCGCATCGTCACTCATAGCACCGGATCTTTGAATTCAAATAATCAACAATAAAATAGTATCACTTCAATGAATAGAGAGAGAGAGAGAGAGAGAGAGAGAGAGAGAGAAAGAGAGAGAGAGAGAGAGAGAGAGAGAGAGAGAGAGARAGAGAGAGAGAGAGAGATACCTATGAATACGGTATATACTATAGTTAGTATTTTTCTATTGAAATATAACATTGTCTACAAAGTCATTATATGAAGATATGGCTGGTTTCGAGTCCAATGGAGAAAGATTTTTTTGTTTTAATTTATAAGTCCGTCAAAGTCTGATCTTATGATTAAAAACAACATAACATATCAGAGACAACATTATGTAAAAAACAAACTATCAAAAGAAATACATTGAAAAGTTTCAAACTTTTTATAACTTGTGATAAATCAGTTGTATTTTAAACAAATCTTTGTTTAATTCATGTGTGTTATTGTATTTGATAGAAATTATAACATTATATTTCTATTGAATATATTTTGGCTAAAATGTGTATTTTCTAAATTTCTATTATTTAGATCATTGTTGTTGATTACTTCAATGCTTAGATAACATGTTTTAATAATTTTTATTGATTATTACTATTGTTTCTTATATTGGTAAAAATGTTTTATAATATACAAGTTATTTATTGAAATAAATAAATGCCTTATTTTAGTATTTATTGTATTACATCATACATATATAAATATTTGATAATAAAATATATATTACTATGTATTATAAATAAAAATTTGTGAGAAAAAAATTAATAAAAATGATAACACCATAAAGTTAAAAGTCATGTATACACTTGACTGATTATGACATACAATGAGATTTAACGTTACAAATAAATATTTATACCATTAGTTATCAAATTTTGATTCAATTACTAACAAAAAGCAAAAAATATTTTAATTCATAGAGTCATATATATAGACATATAGAAAATATTTATTTCAAATATAAATGATATACTTTATAAAAGAGTTCAATGCATAGCACTGTATGAACTCTGGTACCGACATCGCTGAGGGAAGTCATACTAATATTTGATATGATATGCTCTTGAATGCCATTATAATTTAGTTATTAAAGAAATAACAATTTTATGAATATAAAAGAGTAATATTTATGAATACATAAATTCATCTCACAGTAAATGTTATGATATATATAAAAATTTCATATAATATATTACTGTTTGGTTGGTTTCAATGCAAGTCATGATGAATACGAACAAACAATGTATTATTATAATAAAAATAGAGATACAGTACTACATTATATATATACTGTAAAGTTTATATATAATTCATTGGTTTATCACATGTAAAACAAATACAAAAGTACAATATTGTATTAAATATATATTATTTATTTCAAATTTGTACAATGTACTGTATATATTGAATTTTTTGCTACTATTAGAAAATTAAATTAATTTATAATTTCCAATCTACCATATTATTGATATTTTATTATAATTAAATTATTAATAATGTACAGTATAAAATTATTTTCTCAAAAATATGTATAGATAAAAAATAATAATTTTTTTAGTAAACATTTTTAAGATAAGAAATAAATAAATTTATTTTTTGTTTTTAAAATTGGTTAAAATTTATTTTTCAATTTGACAAAATTGTAGATATAATTTCAAAATAGACTAAATTTGTATACATTTTTTATTTAAGACATTTTTACGATAAAATTATGTGTTTTTTGTTTCATATTTCATAATGTCTTATATTTTGAAATATATATATATATATATATATATATAAATGTAAAAGATTTCAGTCATTTATTATTCAAAAGTTATCGTAAAACACAGTTTGTATTAAAGTTAGTCTTAAGTGGTTAGGAATTTGTGGGAATATTTTATTTTTATTTCCTATTAAAATAACAACTGTTGTTAATATTTATGTTGTACTCGTTTTGTAGTCTAATTAACATATTATTAGTACAATATTTTAGTCTAATATCATTGTTTAAAACATTCAGTACAGTATGTCTATACAGTTTCATTGTAATAAAGTAATTATATTTATAACACAGTAATATATATTAAACTTGATATTCCTTTATACACCGGTATATTAAATTTTATTAATGTGTTTTAATAATGGTATTCATAGTATACAAACAGGTATTTTTAAAGCTCATAATATTTGGTATTTACCACTAAAAATCTCTTTAGATATATATTTATCTTTATATATGTGACTCTAATTTGAATTTTTATATGAAATTTTCAATTTGTTTATTTGTGTCAATTCAAGTAGCCATCCGTCAGTTTCTCCCCTAAAAGCTATAGTAAATCCCATTTGACTTCAACTGTAAGCTTACAACAAGTGCAACAACACATTGAATGAGAGTCCTCTTTATATTATCGGTTAAAAAAATCTGAAAAATTGTTTATATGAATAAAGTGTGGAAAAATCTAGTTTTTCTCAATCTATTGCTATATGTTTTGGTTGGTTTCAAATCAAGTTTTTATATTTCACTGCTATTATATTATATCCCTTACAATGAATATATGGTTGTGTATTGTATTCAATGAGAGTAGTAGTGAGTAGTCCTCCAAAAAGTCTACTCCTCTTTCTTATAACACTCTCATAGTTTATCCAACTTTTAAAGTGCACTAAACGTTATATTAAAAGCCTTTCCTCTCTATTTTATCCGAAGATTATATAAACAGTGATTTACTTTTTTACAATTGAAAATTCATTGAATATTTAAAAGTGTGATCAGGTTTTCAATTAGCATTTGCATTGAATATAAATATTTTTTGTATGCAAATAGTTGATGAAAAATACTATTTTAAGTAACTGTGTGTCAATTAATAGTTATAAACATTTTATTTAATAAATCATACAMTTTGTGTAATAATTTTTGATTAATAATATATTTTAAATACTTTGTTTATTTAATCATTTGAGATATACTGTGTTATTAATATTTGTTATATTATTTGTCATTTTATGACTAATTGTGACCACAAAATAATAAATTGTATAAATAGTGTATTATCTGGCAATTGAATGGGTAAAGAAAGAGAGATGAGTTTGCAATTTATAAAAATAGTTTTTATATTTATTACATGAATATGACTACCAATGATCTTCTCCAATATGTCTTAAACTACATAATAAACAACATATGAAATCTAATAATTTGTTGACCAAATAAATATCTCAATATAAGTATAAGTTATTTATTTTTCTTTGACTGCAACGACAACAGTATTTGCCGTCAAAATCTTTTATACGATATATTTGTCGTACACTTCAATATTGTGCCGACTTTTTCGCCATTGGATTTGTCTGCTATTAAATCTCAGCAAAAAAATAAACTGTATATCCATTTGAATGTCTCTCTCAACGCATATCCATAAACCTAAACCATAACATATAAGTCGACCATAAGTTTTGAACGCATTTTTTCGCAATATTGGAGTTAATGTAATAAAATTGTACTCAAGTATTGCCTTTACTATTAAAGTGTTAGCTTTTATTAGTAAGGCATTGAAAGTGACTTATAAATGCGAAAAACTTTTTTAGTGCTTAAATACGTGTAAAAATTATTTGACTTTTTCACTATTACTTACTTTTAGCCCACTATTACTACATTACATTTGAAGCCTTGTTTATATAAGAAAGCCTTAAGGAATATGTAAAGTAATGAAATGTTATTAAAACTCGCAGTTATTTTTGTTGTGTGAATGTCAGCACTTTATAAATAATGAATTAATATTATACGAGTTAAATGTATAATAATTTACTGCAAAAATACTGATTAATTAATTTTTACCACTTTTTCTGTGAGTATATGTTTTATCTGAAATAAGAAATTCAATGAAGTAATAGTAAATGAAAAGTAATAGAAAAAATTAGTTAGAATTCCTAATATTGATTACAGTATACATACATTTGTTTTTATTATTATGAAATGAAAACAGTTTAATGCAATCAAAAACAATGATTCCGTCGTTTCCAAAGGTTAGTGAAATACTTAAAAATTTTATTTTTATCATTTAATCTGATATTGTTTTCTATATAATAATATGAATTTATATAATTTGAAGCATACTTTTATGGTTAAACACTATTATTAAAGTGTAACTTATATTATTATAGACAGTATTTCTTGTGTCCGTATCGATCGTTAGTCTAATAGTCTAAGTGTTAGTAGCAGTGGAAGGGAAAGACAAAAAAAGTTGCCTTTACTTTGCTTATGTATTATAGTCTAATAGATACTAAATTCTAATATACTATATAAAACCTTTACGTTACATAACATGTATGAGAGAAACATATTTTCAATAAACATATTACACTATTGTATGCAATGAGATAATAAAAGCAATAGTTTAGATACAAATATTAATTTTTGGGTCCATCTCTTAGCTAACTCTCCCAATGTCTGTCTTTCCTTCATTAGTCTGCTAACTATGCATCGCATCAAAACATATTGTGTTTGATGTGTAATCCTTGAGAGTGATGATCAAAGCCAACAATAATAATGAGAGTCAACTCCACCCCAAATAAAATGAGTTTTTGTCATCAGATCAGAGAAATTGTGTGTGTATTCAGGCATACATGAGAGTAATATTATAAAAACAGCTTTTATCACCTAAAACATTGGCTCTTATATAACATTTTGCAAATTTATACAGACTATTATATAAATTATATATTTATTTGCCGTGCCTTACGGTATATTCATGTAAGCCATCAATATATATATATTGGGAGAGACTGTTTGTCGCCCATACGCACGCTTACATCACTTTGGTATACGAGTCGATCCGATCGCACGGTTTTTTGCAAACAGAGAGACCATACATATACTGTTTAGATGTATGTTTGCCTTACATGTAGTCAAACACACGCCCGCATCACAGTATCATAACATTTGTGTCAATTTAGTCGATCTCAACTTTTTTTAGATTTTTGGAATTTATAGCTCTTATATAATAATTTTTTGTCTAATACTTAATATATTATCACTAATGTATTACATTATAAAGTAAATAATATATAAATAATAACATATTTGAAATATATTATAAGTAACATTTTTTCTTGTTTTTCTTTCTCTACTCTCTACCACTTTTCTATCATTTTTTGTGGTTTATGTTATATAGTTTGTGTATATTATAATATATAACAATGATGTGATGTTGCCTTTTGGGATATTATTGGAGAAAATATAATATAAAAAAATTTTAGATTTGCTATTGACTTACAAATAATAGAAAACCCATAACTAAACCAAACTAAAAAATTTATTGACATAAATGGGAAAACTTTTGATTGCTTTGTTATGTAATTACGATATATCAATATATCGGTGTTACTACACAACCTCTACATATAAATATATAATTTACCGGTACTTGATTTTTAGCTATTAGCTGACTTTGGCCGCCAATTTTTATGGTCACCATTGACCACCGTTAATACACTTAAGCAGCACCGGGAGGCCAGAAAATCAGTGCTCAACCATAACCACATCAATGGATATAAGAGAATTCAGTCGACTTTCTATTGCAATGAAGGTTTGTATATTTAATTTAATACACAAATTTAATAAACGTTAACAAATAAGCCAAATAATTCTCTGAAATAAATTATTGCTTATTTCTATTGCTTTTATTTAAGATTTTTTTTGTTTGTATATAAAATAATTGTGAAAATGCCAGTGAATTGAATACTTGAAACAAAAAATAGACTCATATTTTTAGCGATGGTTTGTTTGTTAAGACTTTTATTTGTCAAACACCACTACAAAGACTGCTTTCTCTTTTCTGTATGATTTAAGTCAATTCATTATATTATTTGTGATAATATGCCATTAATTAAACAGTTTTTGATATATTGCGAGAAATATAGTTATCTCCTATTGTGCACAGTTGGACCATTAAGGGTCTTACACATAACATTATCTTTATTACAAAAAAATAATAGTTTATATTTACTACTGGTTGAATAGGACAATGTATATGACCCGGTGTACCAGTGTATGGCTACCATTAAAATGCCAGTCTATAATTTTAATAATCTTTTTAATGCTATTTTTATAATTATGTTTTTTGTTGACTATAATTACAAATGCCATGAATGGCACTATAAAAAGGGTGTGTTTGAGAAGATACGAGTGAATACCCCGTTACAAAAAGTAGGTATTTTAATAGTATTATCAATGGAAATATAAACTATACTTTTTAAATATGTCTTCCCGTTAATAAAGTGATTCAGTGGACCGCGAGCTTTATATTAGAGATTGTTTTGATACTTCAAAAAATGTAGTTTTCCTTAACATCAGTAGTAAAGCTATACTTTATTTTATGATTACAGTATAAGATATATATTTAAATATATTTTTATATTTATATAATGTTCAGAATAAGTTCAGTCCTTAATATTGAAACTCCATTTCAGACCATTATATTAGTAAATAATTTTGAATATTATTTTAGAGAAAATAGTRTACAACAAAATAAAAATTGGAAAATAGCATATGATATTACACAATTTTTATCAAATTTTACTGTATATAAAAAATTAGTCGTGTATATATTGAAAATAAATTATAGTGATATAAATTATATATATATAATACTTATTTATAATGTTTATTATTCTACAGTACATAAACTATAACTATTTAGTAGTCAGTAATTTAAAATGCATTTTAATGGATTTCATTGATTACTATTACCGTAGTATTATTATTATTATATTTATACACAAAAAGTATACTTAATAATGTTATTATTTTTATGAACAATTAATTTAAAAATAAACAAATAATGTACACAAAAAATTAAAATATTTAGATTTAGCTCATGTATTAGACAAGTTTTAGACACATTTTTATAAACTTCATTATCACATAAAAAATAATTTAAAAAATACCTGTTTAAAAAAATAACTTTAAAAAGAAATAGTGTAATATTAAGTTATATTATTATTTTACTGTATTATAGCTGTTTTATATATTAACAAAGTGGTTAATGATCTTATAATAATCATTTTTGATAACATATTTATTGTTTTATTTATAACATTTTAAATTGAAATGACTGGAAAATATTTATAAATTAAAATTGACTGCTATTAAATGAGTTATATTAATAATATTATTATATTTATAACTAATATTTAATGAGAAAAGGATTATAATAATTACTTCACACAACAAACAAAAATAATTTAATAGTTATAATGACAGAAACGAGAATAAATGTTATCTAATGAATAGTAATAAACAAGACATGAGTTATACATTTAGATTAAAAAACATTTACTAAATATAAAAAGTCAATTAATAGTCACAATTATTTTCAATTGAATTTAATAAATAAAAATAACAATTTGTTGACTACCTATCCTTTTTAGTACAGAGAGATAGACTCCCTGTTCCTTAGCATCTATACTATATGAKTGAGGGAAACGATCGCTAAAAATATTGTAGGACTCAATTAATTATCAGTGCTTAAAGGACTGGTAACCCACTGACCTTAAGCCTGTATTTTTACTCCAATGGCTGAAAACTTTTTAAAAATAAATTAAATTCAAACATAAGGAGAGCAAAAAACATGAATATAATATMTATATAACTAATATATATATATAATGTAATATTTGTGAGTTGGCCCTCGGGTTAAAATTTTAACAACGATTTAAGTTGTTTTAAAAATATATTATATAAGAAATTGATAGCAGTTTTTTCACTTCTATAAATAATTACTGTTAACTTTTTATGAATATTATATATACAGTATATATATATATATACAATAAATTTATAAATATAAAGTATAGTAATTTTCAGGTTATTATATATCTATATTGATTTATATATAATTGATTTCAAACAGTTATTAGTGCTTTTTCTTTCATACAAATAAGCCATTATTTTTGCAATGTTTTTAACAAAGTTTCAATTTCATGTATTTTAAAATACAGCATTAAATTATATTTAAATTAAATTACTTGAAAAATATCGCTCTCAATATAACAATCATATAAATATATTTTATTAAGTTATTTAAAGAAATAATTAATTTATATTTTAATAATAACTATTAATACTTTTATTACAATCATTAATACAATTTAATGATTGTAATAAAAGTATTAATAGTTATTATTAAAATATAAATTGAGTGTCAAATCCATTCAAAATATATTTAGTAAACTAAATAATAGTTTTTTTTATTTATTCACTCATTAATATCTTAATGTTATTTACAACTTATTTATAATGTGTTGAATTATGAATTATTATTTGGAAAATAGTATTCATTTATTATATTAAATTTTTAAATTCATATTAAATTATAATTTAATATTATTTTGTTAAAGTGTCTCCTCTTTTGTTGTTTGCAACCATTTATAATAATAATATATTATTATAAATTTATTTTACAATTTCACGTCCTTATTGTGTGTTTTTATTTTGTTATTCTATTATTGTCTAAATATTATTAATATTAGCTATATTTTACAGTAAATGAGATTTAATTTCTAGGTTTTCTCAGTCAATGTTTTTTTTAAAAAAAGTTAATTTTATTAACCATGTTTTTCTTAAATCTGTTATTACTTTTATTATAATCTTATGTCAAGAGAAAAATCCAATTAAATCAGTGAACCATTTAATGATTAGTTCATATTATAATATGGTTTAGATTTGTAGAGATAGAGTAGGCATACCATACCCTTGACTGTCGTGCGGGTGCTTTAATATATTGCGAAAAAATGTATTAATGATTATTACATGTATTTATGTTTTTAGAAATATTACGAAAATCTATTAAAAACAACAAAAATATATAAACAGAAATTAATTCTAATTTTTGACTTAAAATATAAATTTTGAAATAAGATTATAATTTCTAATCAAAAAAGTTTAAATACATAAATAAATGATTAAATAAAAAGTAATACTTAATTAACACAATTATTTTTTTTATTGACTTAGAGATTCAAAAAAAAAAGTTTTTTACATAAAACTAGTTATAGAGAAATAAGTTAAATATATATTAATACTTTAATACTAAATATTTAAAAGTTTTATTTTTGATTATATATAATATATTTAAAAGTTAATTTATTTATATTTGTAAAAAACAATTAATAACTAACTGTTATTTCTTAATAGGCGACTGTGTTAGTACTGGTGGTGGTGTGTCAGTGCTCTGCCTGAGTGAACAGCACACACCTAACCAGAAAACCAACTCAAGTATTAGTGATAATATTAATGAAGTTTCGGTAAAAGAGAGCACAGACTCTGAATTGAATGACAGATATAAACATTATTTTAGTCTTAATTATGACACAAATACTACTACTAATAGTGCTGTTGTTGTCGACTTGTGTGGAGATAACTATGATTTGCCATTAATTATTGAATCCAATTATAATAGTGTATTAAAAAGATCTTTGAGTGAACCAAATCTATTAATCAGTACTCATGAGTCTCCAATTTATGACAATTGTGTCGGCTATAAGACAATAATTACAGATATAAACAGCAAATACAACTTTAGTGATATCAGTGAAAGTAAATCAGTGACCTATTCTTCAAAGTCGTCATCAATATCTTCATTGAACTCTTATAAAACATCTGATATAAGTTATACACAATTGGAGGAACAGTTATCTCTTAATCCATACAATCGCTTAGTCGAAGAAGAAATTGATTGCATCGATACCAATAGCACCAGTGCTTCAATAGATACCAGAGTTGAAGGCATTGATGGGCAAAAGGATTTTGTTTCGCAAATCAATAATAATATAACAACAGAATTGTGTCATAATTTAATGACTGATGAACCAAATAATGACAAAAGTATTACCAGTAAAGTAGTGATCATCTCTGATGAGGATCAGTACTCTCTTGTTGTTTGCCAACAAAATGTTAATAATATCACAACTGAGAAAAATAATACAAAAAGAAATGACAAAATGAACAGACATTATGTTAATTGTTCACAAATTTGTGGACCAAAGACACYGGAATCAGTACAAGAACCACATAAACAACAGGATAATTGTGGTCAAAGTGCACATTCATTTCAACACAATTTGATTAAACGCCAGATTATGTCTGGCAGTGAAAGAACAGTAGTATCTGAGACTGAAAACGTTGTTTTAAACGATTATTTTGATAATACCAGTGCCACCAGTAATGGGTTTGAACAGAAAGGAACAGTACGTTTGCCACATAATAGACATTCATTAACATTGGATGTGTCATGTAATGCACCGGCAGTTGATAGCAAAAAATGTAGTGCCGTTAGCTCGACATCGACGAGGAATTCCCGAAGGCTTATAGTCAGTGATAAACGTCTGAGAAATGCTGTTTTAGACAGACTTAAGCGACTCGGAGTCAGTTATTTATATTGTTTTTCTCACTTATATTTCACTTTTTATTTGTGTATCATTTATTATAACTATATATATATATATATATCTATTAATTTTCTATTGTTTGCTCACTTCATTCACACGACTTTCCTCTTCATCCCTGAGATGTTTTCTCTATTTCTTTGAGAAAACAATATTTTGTATAATAGCTTGTGTTTGTCCCTAACTATCATAATATTAATGCATTACTCAAACCATTATATCTGTCTTTCTCTTTTGGTCTCATATAACAGCGCTCTCAAAGTCAATGTCGTCCATCTGATAATAAACTGATGACAACATCGACATCACAGACGAGTCTGAGTTCACAAAAGTTTTATATGAGAACCAAAGGACTGTATAAGAATGTGAAGCGTCGCTTCTCATCGGTTCCTCCCAGTGCTGATGTGGTCGACGAAGAACCACCACCGGCATCATCATCACCGGCATCGACACCACTGCCGCCCCCAATAACTCATACGATTAATAACACAAACTTAAGTGATGATTCAAATTTGGCAATTTATGGTAAGATTGATATCAATTTAATGGACAGATTTATTAATGAGTAGTGACTGTCATACAGCTAACCAAATGGATATCAACGTTGGGGTGACTGGCGTTCAGTTGAGACACTGTTCTAGTTATGAGAGTATTGAAGATTCCGGATGCGGATCAAGTATGTGTTAAATATGATTATTCTTATAATATTTTTATTTATTATTGCAAAAACATTTTTTTTGCTTCGTATCTAAAACTTATACCATATGAGGAAAACATAATTTATTTATTTATTTTCAAATTTATCAAAATTAATGCCAAAACTTTTTGATGTCAAAGCTTTGCCGCATTTTGAATTTAATACGTTTCGACTTTGAATTTCTCAACACTAATACCATTGATGGCCATAAAAATCTCTTACAAATATAGTTTATCTCTATTTCCCATTCAATAGTTGGTATTCATTGAGCTTTTTCTCTATACATTATGGTTATTATGATTATTATTATTGTTAGTTCCCATAACTCTCAAGACCCCCACTATTGCTGAAAATAGGTTTAGCCATTCAATGGGAAACTCATGTCTAGAATAATAAGCACTTGTTTTGGACAATCAATACATGTATTGTTTTGCATGAAGTATACTATAAATATAAGATTTTTTAATCAATTTTATATCAATTTTTGTTTGGCACCACTAATGTTATTACTGTTTATACTGTATATTATGTCAATTATAAACTTCCCTCTTTTTAAAACAAGAATATTATGTAATATTTGAGATGAATATAATAATAACATTTGATTGCTGTTATGAAAGGTATCCAAACGAGTTCATTGTCTACAGACAGCAATCGGAGCTCCATTTGTACCGGAGATGACATGAATAGCATGTATTCATCTGCACTACTGAGAGGGCCGTTCATAGGATATGCGAAAGCCATCACCGACTGTACTCCCTGTCCCTACTATAAGGATGCCCTGCCATTCAAGGTATGGATTAGTTCTTTCAATATTTTTGCATAAGTATTAGCAAAATTTATTAGTTTTATAGAGTTCCGGCAAACAAATGGTTATTAAATCCAATTACACTCTTTTATATTGTATATCACATATCATAAAAATAAATTATATTTAGTTAATACATGTAAAAAATATTTGTATTAAAATAATTATACTGTAGTCAACTTTATTACCTTATAATTTGAACACAATATTAATAAGAACACATGTATTCTAAATTTTGACCCTAAATTAGACTAACGATTATATCAATAGATATTGTAGTAATAAAATATAAAAATAAATATCAATAAGAAATTAATTTTAAAAAACATTAACAAAAATTGACTTTTTTGGTGACTTTTACTCTTTAATGATATTAAATTAGTTTTAATGAAACCCATTGAATAGTTGAACGAAATTGGATACTAGTTTTTGTTATAAACATAAATTATAATTATGTATTGTGTAATTAATATGAAAACAAGTTTATCGTCAGATAAAATACTTATAATATATATATATATGATATATATAAACCAAACTAAAACTAAAATTAAAATCTCATTTATAATAATTTCTTTTAAAAATAAATTTAATTTTAAAATTAGGGTTTATTAATTCTTTTATTAGTAGATCGATAATATTTTAATATTAAAAAAGGATATTTATATATTGTTTTAAACAATTATTTCTGGACTAATTAGTTTTGATATACTTTTCATGAGATTATAAATAAAATATAAAATATATTTATAGAGAGGAGATATCATATCGATAATATCAAAAGACGAATCGGGCACTTGGATAGGTATGGCCAGTGGACGGGTAGGTCACTTCAAGTTTGTTAATGTAGAAGAAATCAAAACATATGATACATATTCTAACAATAAACGGACCGCCAGTAAAGGTATTAAATTAATAATTCCGGTGACAGTTGAACACCAACAACAAAATGAAAGTCACCGACAGTGCCACAAATCAGGTGCCAGAAATCAACATTTGTTTAATAATTGTTATAAAAGTATTAATAATAATAATAGAGATAAATCATGCGATGACCGCAATTGTAAGTGTAAAGAGATTTGTGATAAATTAAAATCACGTTTAGTTGAATGTAATGGACGGCCACTGACTTTAAATGATATCAAACATGTGATCAATATATCGGAACTACAATTTCAGAGATTGTTTATCAATGGATATAATAATCTGAAACTATTTTCAGAGATTTCAAATAAGGACAGACTTAATGATTGTGGTATCAATGATGCCGGTGCTCAACATCAGCTTCTAACAGTAATTCATGTATTAAAAGACTATTATAGTACAACATATGATAGCGAATCATTAATTAAGCCACAAAATACTAGTCAAAACCAACAACCCCAGGACAGGCCTCAGTCCAAGTATGTGCCTAAACATAGACGTGACCTGAGGTTTAGTACAGTTGCCGGTGTTTCCATGTCTGCGCCCACGACTCCAGTATTTACTCCATGTATTGACTTTACTGGTGATGACTTTCAACAATTATTATCCAAACTGGAAAGTGTGAGCACATCCAGTCTAGAAAATAGCTGTGCTTACGATGACATAAAGGCTACTTCAGTGACAAATGTGATGCCAAGTCATAGATCGGCTGATAGTATATTAGATGACTTTACCTATAATAGTGAACAAACAACTAATGAAAAAATATATGAAAACACTGAACAAATGATTAGTGTAACGCATGAACGACAACATCAATATAATAGCACATTAGGTAAGAGTTATTGTTATTTATTAATTACTTACAAAATTATTTTCTAATTTTTTAATGGTTTGTTTATATATATATTGCTTTCATATCTATAGCTTAATACTGTTACAAAAATATAGTTTTTTATTAATTAGTTATGACAGACTGAATCTAAAATTACAAAATAATGCTAATATTAATAATCATAATAATAAGGAAAATGTAATATTTATTATCGATTTTTTTGGAAAAAATTTTGCCGGCAATTTCTCCACAATTATAACTTTCTAGACAAGTGCTTAATATGATTGCTATTAAATTACTTGTTATTAAAAATGAACAATTAAAACAGGAAACATTGAGTGTAACATAAATGTGTTACAACAACAATAATAATCATTAAAAAAATTTTATATTATTATTATTGTTAAGATATTGCAGATCAAACACTCTGGTGTGTGACCCAACCCATAGACCTTAAACCCAGGCATTTGTATAACATTGAGTTATCGGTATTTGTGTCCAATTGTGTTGATTGATCATAAAATAACAAAAAAAAACATATCCAGTCTTTATATTATAAAAACTACTACTTTTTAGTTAATTATGATTTCTTTTTTATTAAAATTTTATACAAATATTTTTATTTTGGTGAAAGTTAAAGATATTTATGCAATTTAGTAGTAAACACACCCAAAAATCATTATTAATTTGAAAATATACTTTAATGACATCACTACAAATCTATTGACAGTTATATAACTGATATAATTATATGAAAAAATTGAGCACAAAATGAATCGACATTAATAGTAGACAATAATTATAATAAAAAAAGTATATCTTTAAGTATACAATAAATGTAAATTATAAATAATAAACATTATGTTTGTTGTCATTAAACTAATGGCAAGCACTGTAATGCATGAATTATGACAAAACATTTTTTTTGTATTATAAAACCTCTTTTAAATACTAATCTCTTTTATTCATATAAAATTTTAAATAATTTTATAGTTTTATTATATTTTATATTTAAAAAGATAATTATCACTATTTTTAACAATTTTAAGTGTATATTTCCTATTGAATTGAATTAATTATTAATTTGTTTTTAGATTAAGCTATAAATTTTAAATGTTTATATTTTGCTATAATTATTACACAGATTATTGTTATAGTTATTATAGTTTAAAACACAATTATTACATAACTTTGTGTTATTAGTGTTTATATTGCATTTCTTGATATAATTATATTAAATTCACGTGTTTTATAGTTAATTTTTTTAACACAAACTTTATTATGACATTTATACTTTACATTTATCTAATTTTTTTTCTCAAGCTCTCAAAAATAATATTTTGAAAAATATGTTAATTTTATGAAATATTGAAAAAACACCGATAGAAACATTTTATTTCCTTTTGTATTCATTGCAAACTTTATGTCGATATCATTAATCTTAAGGTTTTAGTAGGAAATGACAGTAAAATATAAGAAACTATTATATGTTTCGATTTTCCATACGTTTCATAACTGTTATACTGTATTACATCCATAAAGTTGGAGCCGAAAACTCATTCACAAATGAAAAAGTGATGTGAATTGAGTTTAACACACAATTTATATACTGTATATCATTTTGAATGCTTTAAATTATTAGTTAAAAGCAATAAATTGTTGTCATTTTGCAACGTAGGGGTTACTTATAGTAAAGAAAAATATACGTTTAGCTAAAAAATATTATATAATAATAATAATAATGAATTTCGAAAAATATATTTGACTTTTTTAGGCCATATAATTATGTACACTACTAATAGGTCTGATATTTAACTCATCCAACATAATAGCCTAAAGGACTATAGATTTGTATATAAAATTATTGTTAATGATTTGTTTATACCTTAACATTACTTCTATAAATAATCAAATAATAAATTTTGCTCACACTTTATCAAACAAGTTTACACAACAATGTTTATAATCTCATAAATAAATTTTTCAATTTTCTCACAATTAAATATAGTATCATATTATGTATTAGTGTGTCAGCCTTTGGTCATTTACAATGTAATTAAATTGTATAATAATATCCACTACAATATATTATATATCATAATATATATATATATATTATGTGTAAAAAATGTTTCTATAAAAATCAAATTCTCGACTCATTTCAATCAATTGATAAGAAAAACATTTTATGAAAACTAAGTATTTAAAAATGTATGTAAACTAAAGTTTAAAACTATATTTAATCGAATAATAATAATAAAACAGATTTTGCTTATCAACCAAATTTTAAATCAATTGATTGATTGCGAGAAATTGTATTTTGTCCGCATATTTCCTTAAGATATTATTATTATTATTATATTATTATATATATATATAAGATATTATGCCGATTATCCTAATGATGAATAAATGTGTGAAAATTACTGTGAAAAACAAAATGTTTATTATTATTATTACAATATGCATGTGATAAAAATTATATATGTTTTCAATACATAAGTAGTATAATCGCGTAAAAATAATAAACGATTGTTTTGCAACTGAAATGTCAAAAAATTGGGTCATTTTGTTAGCAAACGTAGCAATTGATGAATATTCACATAGAAATTATATACAAATATTTATTTAAATATAAAAATATACAACAACTGTTGTTTAACAAATTTTTTTTATACAAACTCGGGTATTATTATTATTTTAACTGAAAATAATTGAGTTTATATTTGCATTTTTATAGTTTATTTATATAAGCTTTATATTTATATCGATATATCATTTTCACAGATCTTTGCAAACTATTTCATTGATTAATCAATGCATATATTATTTTACGAGATCTACTAAATTAATGTAAATCTGCTGTCGTTTCCTCTGTCATCACAAATATTATCTATTTATGGTTATAATAGTTATCTACCCTAAGATTTATTCGCATAAACTGTTTTTACGATATGTTATTTCATTTACAGTAATTAATTTAATATAATTTATAATTATTCAGTTCATATAATAAAATAATACAGTAGATTATTAAAAAATGAGAATACTTACATATATTATTATGAAAATGTAATAAAAAAACAAATATATATATATATTATTTCAATGCAAATTCAATAAATGATAATAAACATTAAGTATAAATATTGTAAGCAATTTTTAGCAAATGGTATTTTTAGCATACATTTTTCGATCAATTGATTTTATGCTAATTTTATTGCCAGTTATCTAAATTGTATAAAATAAAAAGCAATTTTCTATAAATGGAAAATAGGTTTTTTGATTTAAGATTTTGATTTGTGATTGAAATCAAAATTTAATTTATTATTTAATACATTGTTTAATTTGTTTACAATGAAATTTATAAATAATTTTATTTTTAAAATTTATTTTAATTTATTAAATATTTTTAAATATTTAATTAAAAATTTTATTATATATATTTCAGTACAAGTATATACCATCTAAACGAAAGATAAAAATAATATATAAAATTTTCAATAATCATTATTTTGTACTATTTTTGCAAATATTTTTGAGGTTATGTTTTCTTTTCATTTAGAATTGTATTAAAGAAGAAATTCTTGTTTTATTTTATTTATATTCATATCTTTTTGTATACTTTTTTGCATTGATTTTCATAGACAATGGGATTTACTTATGTGAATATTATTATAATTAGATGAACTTTAGTGATTTAATTTTCAAATAAAATATAAAAAGATTTATTTTGATTTATTTATTTGTATTTATGAGTTAATAATTTTTTAAAAATTATTTTAAATCAAAATTTATTATTTATACTAAAATTTCTCGGCATATATTACCTCAGATATACCATAATCATTGAAAATAGCTTTAAAAGTCACATAAATATTATAAATTATTGCCTAATTTGCTTCTCAAATAACTTTTGTAGACTATATTATAAATTTGAACGTCATTTAAGTATTTTAAGCTTAAATATTTTTATATATTATATTTATATAAATTATTTGTTTGCTTAATACAGCAACACTATGAATAATATAAATCTATCAATATATACCATATAATACATTTTATGCTAAAAAACTATGAAATGATATAAATTTATTGAAATGGCTTTACTTTGTTTGCAATAAATAAACAGAAAACACTTCGAGAAGAATAGTAGTGGTAGTGATAGTAGTCTTTAGATATATTGATATATATATACAGTATATGTGATATAAAATCGATTGGAAAGTCATATGAATGTTGAGGACGAGTCATATTCTTTCATAGTCTAAGACCATCAGTTAAATAGACAGACATATAGACAGACACACAAAAAGTATCGCTCTCTTAGACTTTGGTTTTCCTTTAAATAAATGCATTTCAAATGATTTGAATGAATGAATAAATGTCTGCCTTTTTATAATAATGTAATCATTGATCGTCAGCTTTCAAACTAAAAGCACTATTCATTTGCAAAACATGAGTGAATCGATAGGAAATCACTTACAGTTGTGATGTTATGACAAACGAGTGTCTGATAAACACTATTAACAATAACTATTGAGTCTATTGTATTCATATGTATATTAATATAGATGTTGTAATAACACATATCATACTAAAAATTGTCTAATTGTTTGAATAAATGCATCTCTTAGTTATTATGTAATATCCAATAATATAATATAACATAACATTATTGACTTAACGTAATCCACTCTTACCCTAATAATGCATTGTTTGTTTATAGCCTATCTTAATATCTGAGATTTATTTATCTTTTTATTTGTAATGTTATATATATACTGTATATATAATGTATATTACAAATAATGAGTCTGAAATAAAACCAAATGAATGTTGACTACAGTTAAGGGTATTAATGAATATGAAAATAATGTTAATTTTGATTATCAAATACATAATGTAATATATAATTTCTAATAGTTTTAATAGCGAGAGGGTTGGGATTGGTGTATATCAAAAACAATACATACTTAGCTTAGATTAATAAAAAATAACAATAAAAATAATGATTATATAGTTATTGTAGTAAATTCGTGTGTTTTATGCCTCACAATGAAAATTATGGAAAGATCTTTGAGAGGGAGTGTATTGTATTTATTAAGAGAAGACATCAAACAAAATATTTGACTTTCAAAATCAAAAGTCAATTATCAGTTCATATAATCGTAAAAAACTTGATAAATATCTTTTTGGTGCAAATATTAATATATAAAATATTATTATTTATTATTAAAATTTTAATTTTTATATTTAATCACTGTTTTAATTTATTTTCATACATTATGTTTGTATAATGAATTGATATTTTGATTAAAATTTGTCTGAAATCAAATTTTATTTATAAATAAATTTTAATTAAAAAAATAATTTTTAATATACATTCATCATTTTAGTAAATTATTATAATATAATATATGTGCATTTAATGAACTCAAATGTTAATAAATAAATGTAATATTTACTGAATTGTTGATAAAGTTGTAATATTTTTTTTAATAAAAAAATGCAGATCACAACTATTATTAACCTTATTATATTTATTATATATATATATTTGTTTGATAGTATACCACAGATACATATATATATATATATAATATTATTTCTATATTATAATTTCTTATCTCAAATAATATAATAACAAAGTTTGCGAAGAGGAGTTTACTCAATATATAAAATGTTAAGTTATATATTAAGTTACCGATAAAATAGATATGTAGTTGTTTTTATCAATGCATTATTAGAAATTAGGTTATGTTTTGGATTTTTATATAAAAACATAAAATTTGTTAAAAAGATAAAAAATAAATATAATGAATTAATGAATGTTTATAAGGACTCACGATAGCATTAATGTTTGTATATAACAAAATTATATTCAATTTATAATTAACATTGACATGTTTTAAATTAATTTATTGTAATGTATATCCTTATATTTTAACATAAATATAATTGCATATAAATGTAAAACACATTTAATTTAAATTACAATACATCATACAGTATATAAATAAAATACTATATTTATAAAGTAAAGTTATAACACAAATGTTACTAACAAAACAATTAATTTTATCAAATCTCTAAATCTTAACTATTTTTTATTTGTTTTTGGGTGATATTATTACAAACTGAATAAAATAAATACCATTTAATACATAGTATTATAATAGTCTGTATAATATTAAAATCAATTTAGTAATTTAGTTAATGGTATACATTATCTTTAACCGTTAATTGATTACTATATTATGAGACACTCAAATGGGAAAACATTTTGAATAAAATAAAAATACAAAATTACTTTCAATTAATTAAAGATAAAGCCTTTTATTTCAATGAGTAAAATAATAATTATAGACAACCAGTGTTAAATGAAAACTTTATTTGTCAATTAAAAATTAATTAATGAATTATAATTAAAACTTAATCCTTAATGCAATTAAGTAATATTATACTTTATTTTTGTCAGATATTTCAACAAAACAACAAAAGTTAATAACAAATCCATCATTTATCACGTCATCTGATGTTATTAACAACAACAGCGACGGTAGAAGTGAAGGGAAAGGTAGACATAATAGCGTCAGATTTTGCATCCGTGATAAGTCATTGGATAGAAATCTATTGAGAAAATTAGATTTGAAACCCATTTACATGCAATCAATGGACAGAAAAGTCTATAATACAAAAAGGGTGTCATTTGCCGCAACCGGTATGACTTCATCACAAAGTGTTATAAATTTAAGTACAAATCAAAATTCATTACTTAATGAATCAAACAATCATAACACCGCCACCAACAACATCACCACCAACAACAACAACAATATCACCAATAATACATTGACCGACACATTGAGGAGTAAAACAAAATTTAAAAAACTGATATCCAGTTCACGCAAATTCTCGACATTTCATTCGCACAGTAGTCTCATGTCATTAGTTAACAGCACCGGTAGTACCGGTGATTTTGGTGTTGGCAATGATGGTCGTGATGTCATTGTTACTGACACTAAGCTCTGCTCCAAGACATTGAAAGATGCCATCATTTATAAGCTAAAGAGTGAGAGCATTGATCTCACGGATGAGCCCTACTCTGATACTGTAATTAATTATAACTTTTATTATTATTTTAATCACTCGAATTTATTTTTAGGTTAAAACATTTTAGTTAGTTATTATTAAAAAAAATATCAAAAACAAGAGTGAAACAAAATTATACGATATATTTATAGAAAATATTTAATGAGAATCAAAATGCTCATTAAAAAGAAAAAGTTATATATAAAACTTTAATTTATTTATTTTAAAAATTCATGCATTTTGGTGCATAAAATTTGCACATAATTTATTTAAAATATAATTTATATATTTAATGCAAAGTTCCGTTAATTTATGTCGTGTTAAGTAGTTTTTAGTTCAATAGTTAGTTATAACAATACCTTATATAATACTGTATATTGTTTTTGTTTCTATTGAATATTTTGCATACATAATAACACTTTTAATTATTTATATATATAGCTCTAATTATAGAAAATAACAATTAAATCTTTTTTATTTATATAATATATTTGAATATTAATTAAATGATTATTTATTATAAATGTAAATTTAAGGCCGGATTTTGTGGTATACCTCCAGCACTGATCCAGCGATACACCGACGAGTGTCAGAGAGACACCTATGAAATATCGGAGGTATTAGACGAGCTTAGGATGAAGGCATTGGAGGCTAAGGGTAGACGTGGTGTTCCTAATGACTACTTGGGTGACTCATGTATGGGACCGGTCATCGATACAGCCAATTATGAGAACCTGCATCTATGGCTCATCTCATTGGGTCTACCGATGTATGAGTCGTGTTTAAGAGCCCACGGCTTTGACACTCTTTACAGAGTATCGAAGTTAAGGGAAGTCGATATCGTTAACAAATGTGGTGTAAATGATAGAAGACATATACGCATACTTACCAATGCTATCGGTGCTCTTCATTTGAGTTTAGGAGAGTTAGACACCAAAATATAATCAAACATTTATTATCATCAAAATGTAATATATATCACATTTATTACCATTACATCACATTTGATGCGCTCTTTCTTGAGCTTAATTAACTGTCCAAATATTATATTTATTGTTTTATTAACATTTATATATAAACTTTACTTAAAATTCATAAAACGAAAGTATTTTATTTATATAAAAAAATATTTGCTAAAATTTATTGTATAATTTTATTTTTACTTTACTACTTTTATTCAATTTTTATATTACTATTATTTTTTATATTTAAAACATATTTCATATATTAATTTTTGACTGCCTCTTTATAAAAATAAAAAGTTATGATATTGTCTATTATATCTTTAATAGAAAAGATTATGTATTTACAATATAAACAAAAAAAACTGTTTTATACTTCATATATAAGATTATTTAAATTTATTATTCTTAGATATTGTAAAAATGTTGTAAACTATTTGAACCGATTTATGTATAAAATTATAAGAGATGTATTTTGGCAAATATGTTAGCTATAAAATACAAAATTTCAATTAACATTATTAGATGTATTATAATTACGCTATATTTGTATAATTAATTAATGTTTTATGTAATTATATATGCTATAAAATAGTTGTAAATTATTATAAAATTTTATTAGAGAATAATGCTTTAAATGCATTTAAAAACTTTTGTTGTATTTGCAAACTAAAATAAAACATATATTAATTTAGATTAATTGAAAATTGAAATATTTATAATGAACGTAATAATATATAACAAACATAATAATATTGATAAAAAATTCATTAAACTAACAATGAATTATATTGTAATTTGTAATGTCATAAAATATTGTTAAATGATGTTTATATTAATTAAAGTATTTCAATAGACAAATGAAATTATTAAATGGATTTATTGCAGTCATTGGCAATAAAATTGTTATCAAATGTTTGTTGACTTACAAGACATGCATTGATATAATAACAAAACTAAGGGCAGAGTTGTCGACGACAAACACAATTGACTTTTTTATAACTATATATTGCTATCCTTACACTTCATTAATCCAATACAATCTATAATCGTTAGAATCGTTGAAATATTAGTCAAATAAAACTTAACATCAAAATATTGAAAAAAATCAAAGAGTAAATGTTAATTAAAGCAAAAGTAGACAGTTTAGTCATTAATGTTTACTAAATGTTAGTATAGTTTGTTTTTTTGGGTCCAACTGTTGGTTAGTATTAACTAATGTTTTTAGTATATATATATATACAGTATATATATAGAGCAGTAAAATCATTGGAGAAATACACTAAATATTTATTATTATTCTTATATATTAAATGCGGACATTTAACACTAGTTTTTCTAAAAAAAATTATATTATAAACCATAATACAGTAGTAAAAAAAGTAAACTATAAACACAACTTTTATGTTACTAATATATATGCATGTATTGAGTCAGCTCTAACTGGTCTAACTTAGTAGTAATAGTATACTTTAAATGGTATGTCCATCGATATGTTTAGATCTAAAACTAAAAGTAAAAAAACTAATAAAAACAAAGCTCTGGTATCCAGTAATATGACTCTTGGAGTTTGTTTGTCATGTTTTTGATTTTGATATAACAATAACACATCTGTCAAATAATTTTGTGACCAAATAAACTAAATAAAACAAATAACTTATAAAATGCATCAACAAATCAGTCTTGTTTTGTCTGATCTTAAGTTTTCTGGAAAATGTGTTTTAAACAATATTTTTTAGTTATTTTATTATTTTTTGTGATAACACTCAGCTTCTTAAATATAGTCTAAGAAATTGTTGACATTTTTGTGATTTAATTTATTATAGTTTTTTATAACTAAATTCATGTAATTTGATGAATGAAAATGTTATATAATAGCAATTGATAGACATTTTTATGCTATTAAAGTCAGCAAAAATTGTTTAGTATCTTAAAGCTATACCGACAGTACATCACAATCTATTTAATAATCTATTATATCATATATCAAATGTAAGTCAATTTACTTTAGATAATATGCTTTAATGTCATTTAATTATAAATTGATTTTATATATTAATATTAAAATCAATAGACTTTGAATTAGATTTTGTAAAATACAGTGAAGAGGTTATTGTTGTTGTTGTGAAATATGATATAATTCAGTAATTATATTAATAAACTAACTAATGATAAACAGATTATTTAATAAATTGAGTAAACGATGACTTAGATAATGTCTGGTGAATATCAATTAAGGTTACATAATATGATTTACATTAATGTAATTACATTTGTATTATATGTTATAAAACGCATTTAAATCATATATAATTACAACGCCGGCAAAAATGTTTGTCTTTTTGGTTATATATTATGTGAATTATAACATGTAATCAATTATTTATAAAAAAATAAATAAAATAAATGTAATTTAATACACATTTTTCATGTTTATAATTCTGTTAAATTTCATATTTCTTTCAATAATATTATATAAATGTCATTTTAAAATTATTATACGATATATCAAACTATAATTGATTATAATAAATAAATGTATTATTAAATACATTAAAAATTATTTTTTATAAATATATTGCATTACAATTAAAATATATGTTTTTAAATATAAGTTGGTTTTAAAATAAACAATAAACTGAGAGATTGTATAATTTATACAAATATTTATTATAAACTCTATGAGTATTAAAACTAAAAAATGATTTTAATTGTAAAACTGTATGATTAATATTTGTATATAATTTACTGTATAATATAATGTCTATTTATTTTAATTTTAAAATCTAGTCTAATATTTAAAAATATAGATTAATTGTAATTTAATATATTATTTATATAATGAATTGCAAATCTAATAATGTTTTAGTTTATACAAAAAAAACACAATCATTATCAATAAAGTTGACAAAAAAGTTGTTAGTTTATTACAAAACTTCTATTATTTAAATTTAATTAATTAATTATTATTTAAATCATTTACTTTAAAATCTTATCCGATTAGAGACCTTTATTGTGAGTGACAACTACTGTAATATTAATTGTAAGTTAAATATAATATTAGATAAAATTTAAGTATTTTCAGTATTTGTCTCTCTCTAAGACACTTCTCTGTAATTGTTTGGACACACATTTGATAGAAAATTTGTCGACAATTGTTATCCCTTTGACAACCAGTCGACACATGTCGTCACCAAATCTATCAAATATTTGATAAGATTTTATAATAAAAATATCTTTTAATTGACAATAATTCATATATTCTTGAAGTTAATAATCGATTATATAATTTATATATCGATTGTATTTAAAAATAAATTGTTGATTAAAATGGTGTCGACACCTATACTTACTATAATACACTATCAAACTATGTAAGCAATTGTCCGCAATGTGTCAGCACTTGTCTTAAAAGTATACCTTACTCTACCTGTACTGTATTAATACTGTAGTTTGCAATAACACTTTATAAGCACTAATACAATATAAATTACAGTACAGTATGTATTATATAAGCCCAGTTAGTTGATGTCTAGTGCCATATCACTTATCACTTAGAAAGCATCGGTTGTCGTTAGATTACCGAAGTTAAGCAACCGATAGCCCGGTTAGTATTTGGGATGTCACCACATGGCAATACTGGGTGTCCTAGACATTGATTTTTGCATTTTATTTTTTTAGTATATATGTTGTTATCTGTATTGTTTAAATCTACTTGTATAAAAAAATTATGAATTATTATAATATAGCAAAATTAATGATACTAAACAATTATAAACTAAATATTATACTGTAGTAAAACAATATATATATTTGAAATATTTAAACAACAATTCAATTATAAATAGAAATCCATTATTGATTATTAATATAAATTTTGGATTTATTATCTAATCTTATTATTATTTTTTAAATGTTTTATTTAATATTATTTAAAATAAGAAATACTATTCATTAAATATAAAGTATTTAAAAAATTTAATATTTTACGAAATACTCGTGAGATGACAGTATAGGACTAATATAACTGGTTTTTCGTATAAATTGTTAATTTTTTTTATTAAATACTTGATATTTACGGCAATAGTGACGAACAGCCTATCGATAAGGTATCAAATGTCAAACCCTCTCAATCTTTCTATAGTTTTATCGCAAACACTGTGTAATTAAAAACCAATTCATTATACATATTATTGATTGCATTAAATATTCATTAACTGATAGGAAATGAGTGGAAAAAAGTTTTTGCATCTTTTTTCTCGCGAAAAATGATTAAAAACTTATTAACATTTTTGTTATTGCCTTTGATTTACTTGATATATAAAGTGTTATATCTAATGGTAAACAACAAAATTTTTAGCTAATTTAACCCATCAATAAAAATATTGCTTTATAATTAAAATACAAAAAATGCTTACATTTAGTTATAACAGATAGTTTTTAATGTGAAAAACCACTTAATTATTAATGCATTTTTGTAYTAATATTTTTAAAGGAAAAGATAATATTAAATACAAAAATATTTAAACTTGAAAAGTGCTGTTTTTGTTTAAAAAAAATCTTTTTTTTTAATTAAATGAAAATATAGGAGTTTTTTGTATTATTATCGAAAATGTTTTTATATTCTCAGAAATATTCATTTTTCTACTAATTGTTGACTCATTAGACACAGCAAACATGGCTATAGATTATCATATTATTATGAAAGCGATAATAATTTGTTTTAAGGGGTCGGCGACTGTCTATCCATTATATAATGAATGCATTTCTTAAAGAAAGAGTGAATGCAATTAAATACTCTTTCTGTGAGAGTACTGGTCGTCATCCACAGGGATATCATATTTCATGAACTGATAAGAGATTTTTGTGTGTATTTTATTACATCAAATATTGAATTATAAATTTTTATATTTGAAAACAATTTTCTTGGAAATTTAATGTTTATTGATTAAGTTTATAATATAAAAATACTATATTATATCATATATGTATTGTGA